TATATATATCTCTGTTAGGAATGTAAGCTTACAATTATCTTGAGAAACTGCTGCCTGTGGTATCACTCACAGGTGTTTCCTTGACTTTGATCTGCATCTGTGAACTGCTTATCGCAAAAATTCCTGTGCATGGTCTTTGGTCACTGTAGGCCAAGAATTCAAATCAATGTTGTAATAGTTAAGAAACGATGTCAAATTTCCTAGGCCCCAGGTAACCTCAGCTCAAGGCCCAGAATTTTAGAGCAATAGCTCATCTCAGTCTGCCGGCAAAAATAAACCTGAGTTCTCCAACCATATAAGCGGAGAGGTCTCTTGCTGAATGCAATTTCCACATCAGAGGAGACCAGAGGAAATAAGGAAAGTGACAAACTCAAGAATTCAAGAAGGGAAGCTTCAGAAACCCAAATGCCAGTTGACAGGTGAATGGAGGAGGAAAATGTGGGATATGCATACAATGGGATATTATTCAGCCTTGAAAAAAAGGAAATTCTGACATATGATCCAACATGGATGAGGCTTGAGACATTACACTAAATGAAATAGGCCAGTCAGAAAGGGACAAAGACCATATTGTTGTATTTAAATGAAGTATTTAAATAAGTCAAATTCATGAAAATAGAAAATAGAAAGTTGGTTGCCAGGGATTGGAAGAAGGTGGAAATAGGGAATTTTCCAATGAATATGGAGTTTCAGTTTTGCATGAAAAGTGGTCTAGGGGCTGGGATTGTGGCTCAGCAGTAGAGCGCTCACCTAGCATGTGCGGGGCCCTGGGTTCGATCCTCAGCACCACACAAAAATAAATGAATGGAATAATAGTATTGTATCCAACTATAACTAAAAAAATAAATATTAAAAAAATTGGTCTAAAGGTCTGTTGCACAACAATGTGAACACACTTCATAGTACTGAAGTGTTCACTTAAAAATGATTAAGAGGGTACATTTTATAGTATGTGCTTTTCACCACAAATTCAAAAGATAAAAATAATTTGACAAAAGTAAGCAGGCATTGGGCTGGAAATGTGGTTCAATGGTAGAGTGATTGCTTGGCATGCACGAGACCCTTGGGTTCAATCCCACTACCATAGATGTAGTAGGGAAAAGTGGCCAGATGAATTGAGTGATTGAATATGTTGAGGGCAGCGAATTATTATATACATATTTGTGAAGGTGGAAAATATCAGTGTTGTTTGTACAGTTGTTTTCTACATCATACAAAGGGAAAAGACTGGATTGAGAAAGAACTGCAAGGTTAGGAAGCGGAGACAGCCTGTATGGAAGGTGCTCAGAAGTGTAGGTAGGAAGAAGAACTTTGGATGGGGTCAATAGGAGGATGAGGGGAAAAGGAAGAGTCCTATTTTGCTCTGTCTTGTTTATAAGGGGAGACGTTGAGCACGTTTGAATGTTGGTGAGATGGCCCACTGTCCAGGAGGAGAGTGACAGTGCAGGAATAGGAAGTAAGTCTGAAGTGTGTGGTCCTTGGGGAGGGACGAGGAGATAGGGACAGAGCCTCTGTGAAGGGACCAGTTTCTAGAAAAAGGCAGACACTCCTCACAAGACAGGAGGGAAGGAAGAGAAGGCAGGAGCATGTGCAGGTGGGCTTGGAGCTGAGAAGTAGATGAGTCCCCATTGGATGGCTCCAATTTTCTCCTTGAAATTCTGGGTAAGGCTGAAGAGCAGTCTCGTCAGAGAGACCCAGTAGGTGTCATTAGTCATCTGGGACTGTGGGAAAGGAGCCTGAAGGTCAGTATTGGACAGCTGCCAGCAGGGGCTATGGAATTCTACATTCATTGTTTTAAAGTGAAACTGCCATATTTTATCAATCACGAGATGCACATTTTTTAGTTGTTGACTTGGGGATATATTTGGAGCATTGTTTCATAGCTTCCTAGCATTGTTTCAGTTTATCAGCATGTTTGTTTTTTTTCCTCAGGGGTCCATAAAGCAACAGACATCTTATAACCAGTGGTACGTTAGAGTCAGTAAAATATAGTAGATGTCTACATTCTGCAATTTTGTCCCTGCCAAGCTAATTGCTTGTGTATAGACTTGGAGAAGGTATTTCTTTCATGTTTGCATTTAAAAAATAAGGTAAATAGACTTGAGGACTCAGTATGTGGCTCAGTGCCTAGCATGTAGGAGGCCCTAGATTCCATCCCTACCACCTGCATGTGTGTGTGGGCATGCGCACGTACACACACACACACACACACACACAAACACACCCCTCCTGAATCATCAATCTGGATTTTAGTAAGAAAGAAGCCAGTTTAGGGTCCCTAAAGAATGACAGCCACAACAGGGACTACTTTTTTGAGCAGATGACATTTGAGCCAAAACCTGAATGATGAGGTGGTGCCAGCCTGGTATACCATGGTGGCCCAGGGAGGACCTGGGCCAGGGTGGCTGGACATGGAAAGCATGACAGAGCAGGAGACACTCCAGGAGAAGGGTGAGTCAGCCAGGTGTGAGGCTGTGGGTGGATATGGGTGGAGCCCTTTAGGCTTCAGTATAGGTCAACAGAAAGGAAGGGCCTGTGAACCAGTTTGTATAGCTGGAGCAAGATGAACAGGACAGAGCAGGTGACAGTCTTGATGGAAATGACTGCAGAGGGGAGAAAACAGAATCTAGCAAGACAAATCAATGATAAGGTATATGTAGGCCAAAGAAGGGGTGCTTGGCTTCATCTGGGGCTTAGGAAGAGGTTTCCTGTAGAAAGAATTGGGTTGAACCATGACTGAACACCAGGCATGAGTCAAGAGAAGAAGGAGGGAAGTCCTAGGTAGAGGGCACAGCACGCAGGAAGGCTGGGAGGCTGGAAAACAGAAGACAAACCCTCAGCAGGGAATTACTTAGGTACAAAGTGTCAATTCCAGCATGGCTGGTGAAGGGGCTGGAGCTATGTTGGGAGCCCTGCTTTATTTGGTGAAGGCTGGCCAGTTCCTGTCTTTGAAGAAGTCAGGAGTCCCAACTCTGGAAATAATAGCTGAGTTGTTTTTCTCTTTTGTGTAGTGTGGGGTTGGGCTGAATGATCATTAAAAACACTTACGTCTTTTACATTCCTTGTCTCTAGTACATGCTTAATAAAGTTTTCTGAGCAAATGAATTAGGAACAAGATTCAGTCTTTCCTGAATTTTGCTCATCAATAGAAATGGAATGTGTCTTCCTGGCCTGGTCTGGCCCTGTGTGTCCTACAAAGTGGCTCCTGACACAGCCTCCAACAGCTCTTTCCTGCTTTGAGGGACTTGTTTCAGCTCTATTCAGAGAAGACCCTGTACATTTTTCTTATGTATGTGTCTGCTTCCAAATGCATGGTGAGCTCTTGAGAGGTCAGAGGTCATATTTTAAGTATATGTATTTTCACAGATATGTGACACAGTGAGAATTGTGTGTGTGTGTGTGTGTGTGTGTGTGTATATATATATATATATATATATATATATATATATATATATATAATGAAAACATGATTGATAAGGATGTGTCAGTGTAAGTTCATCAATTTTAACAAATGCAACACTCTGGTATCGGGATATTGTTTTAGTCAGCTTTTTTGCTGTTATGACTAAAGGACCTGACCAGAACAACAATAGGGGAGAAAAAGGTTATTTGAGGGCTCACAGTTTCAGAAGTCTCAGTCCATGAAGGTTGGATCCACTCCCCAGGGCTTCAGGGGAGGCTGAACATCATGGCAGGAGAGTGTGATGGAGGGAAGCAGCTCACATCATGGTGATAAGGAAGTAGAGAGGTTTCCACTTGCCAGATACAAATATATATCCCAAAGCCACACCCTATTCCCAACTCCTCCAGCCACACCCTATCACTTCAATTACCACACAGGCAATCCCTATCAGGGGATTAATTCACTGATTGTCTTAACAATCATTTCTCCTCTGAATCTTCTTGCATTGTCTGACACATGAGCTTTTGGGGACACCACATCTAAACCATAACAGATGTTGATAATAGGTGAGGTTGTGAGTGTTTGGGATGGGGATATATGGAAAATATCTGCATTTTCAGCTTAATTTTGCTTAATCTAAAAATTCTCTAAAAGATAAAGTCTGTTTAAAAGATTTTTTTTTTCCCATCAGAGGGATGAACTTGAATGGTAATCAAGGGATGAATATTACTCCCCAAACGGAATTTCAAATCTAGAGTTAATGAAAAATAAAGTAAGCACCTGTGGACTTTCCCTTTCTGTTCTTATCACTCCCTAGGAGATCCAGAAGAGTCTAAGACAAAATGAAGATGGAGCAGAGGAAGGATTAAAAATGAGGGGTATCTCTCACTATGTTCTAGGAACTTCTTAGTGAATATTTAAAATAATGCTACACCCTAGATAAACACGAAATTAGCTTTTTAAACATGGAATTAGGGGTACCAAAAAGTCCATGGAGACTTTAAAGAGTTGGAAAAGATTTTTGAATCTTTCAAGTTTTAAAAAACAATGTCACCGACCATGCTGCTTTTCAAGAGCCTTTGGTCTCTTATCAGTCAGTATAGGTTAGGTTATGCTGAGGTAAAAAAGAGCCCCCACATATCAGTAACTAAGAACAATAATGAGTAACTTGTTCTCATGCCCATTGTGGGTTGACAGGGGCTTCTGCTTATCACAGTCACCCAGGGACCTGGGTTGAGGGAGGAGCTACCATCTTTAATTGCTGGTCACCATGATAGAACTATTTTTGTGACTCCAGACAACTGCAAGGAGGTTAAAAATTTCAGTGCAATTCATGCCAGTTACAGAGCCCCAAGCATAGACACTGTGGTTTTAATATTCCACCTCCAGGCTTATAGGAAGAATTGTAAGGATGAAATAAGTATGGACAAGTACCACAGATCCCGTGCCACCACCATAGACTGGATCCCTTGCCAAAGACAGAAGCCTTTGCTTTTTGTGAGTCTCGGTGTGTCACCCAGTGTGTGATTCATCCACTCCCCAGCACCGTGCCCCTCCCACTTTGGGAGGTGCTCCCCAAGCAAGACTCATCCTGTCAGGCTGTAGCACCTCTGTGGAGGGCAGGCCCCAGCCCAGCTGCCTCCGCCTGGGGATCTGCCATTTGGGGCTAAATTGACTGCTCAGAGGAGCTGACGCCTGGCCAGCTGATTTGAAAAGAGATAATGGTGAAGGAAAGCCACTGATGGCCGCGTGTCTCCAGCTGCCAGGGAGTAGGGTGAATTTACCTATGACTTTGTCATAGGCTGGCCACAGTGAGTAGTCCCATGTCCTCCTTCTTTTTCCAGTGACTTGCTTCGGACAGGAATTTCAGAAATGAGCAGCCGATTATGATTCTATAATTGTGGGGCTTTGGTAATTTGGGAGCTTAATTAATAACATGACAGTGAGTAAGTATTAAGAAGGAACATGATAACTTTGAAGCTCTTTACATAACTCATTAAGAGCACCAGCCTGGTTATGAACATATTTTGTTTACATTTATTTTTCCGTGCTCTTTTGATTGCCATCCAAATTTCAGAATATAAGAAATTAGAATCTCTAACTGACTTTTTTTCTTTCTGGTAATCTCTAAGTGGTTAAGTGCAAATACAGAGGTTAATGAACCATTGTTATCATTTTCCCTCATCATTCTTTATAATGTTTTATCCACAATATTGATTTCTTAATAAGGTTCACCAACCTTGAATTTGGAAGCCAAAGAATTATTTTTTTCACCTCCTTAAAAAATCCTTCAATTCCATTGACTAACCAGTGCACTGAGATCTCTTGATCCTAGACATTCTTTTCTTTAGATGATGTGAACTTTGAGGAGATTTTTATTGGTTTGAAAGATTTTCCTTGGGTCATTTTTTTTGTGTTGTGGGAGAGTGTACCCAAACACCTACCTTTCTGTCATCTTGCATACTATTCCTTAAAATAGTCTTGTAATTGACCCTTAACTTTATTTCTTCTTTTTTTCTGAAAGAAGCTTTGTAAATATTTGAGTGCAAATTTTAAAAGTTGAGTTTTGCTTCAAAATTTTATCCTTTGAATTTTGACACTCCCCCTTAAAGAAAGCTTCCTGAGAAAAGGGTGAGGTTTGAATTTATCTATTATTATTATTATTATTATTATTATTATTTGCAGTTCCTCCTTCAAAATTTATTCATATTCTTATCATTTGGAAAAATCAACTTCTTGGTAGTTCTGATAAATGATTTTAAGCATATTTTTAACTAGTGATTAGCCTTAATAGACTAAAAACCTTGTCTTTTATGTCTTTATGGATTGTATCCTAAGATCAGGGAGGTCTAAACCCCCTTTCAACAATATTGGTATAATATAGAGTTAAAGCATCATTGTCATTTTACAGAATGAATGAAAAATTGTAAACAGAAACCAGACCTCTTATTTAGAGATAATGAGCTCAGAGGACAGTTCAAAGCCTGGGGACTGGTTGGTCTTTCTAAAGTTGGAGGGCACAGGGCATGGGGGTAGAAATGATTTTCCCTGAGTCCAGGCAATAATGGAGTGCTTTCTCTGTAGATAATATTTCTAAACATGTTATCAGTATGTTCTGGCAGTTCTAAACCATGTCAGTGATAAAACACTGGCCCAGTGGGCAGACCACAACCACCTCCCTTTTGCATGGGTATTGCCTCTGATGAGTGAGATGTGACTTAATTCACCAATAGAGAATAATTTATCTTAGCACACGGAAGATACATCTGAAAGCCTATAATTTAGCAGGTAGTCCATTAATTCCATTTTCATGGGAATTCATGGCTTTCTGGATTTGTTATTTTTATATTTCTGTTAACATAATAGCCATTAAAAAGCTGTAAGTATCCAACAACACCTGCTTTTATTTTTATTTAGGGATGAGGTTATAGAAACTTGCTTCCTCTGCATATTATTCTTAAGTCTTTTGACAGTGATGATAAAACAATCACACTAGCTTAAACCCAATAGATGACTCCGTTATGGTGATACTCAGGCATCTCACAGAACACAGCACAAGAGACAGGGTCCTGACTCTTGTTTTCCACTTCAGTCTTTCTTGCTACATCTATTTCATTTTTCTCTGTCCTTTCTGTAGTTGGGTTGTTCTTATTTATATATTAATATAACTATGGAGACTTTTCTCAGTTCTCTATATTAGTGTCACCTGTAGGGGCTGGAATTGTGGCTCAGTGGTAGAGCACCTGCCAAGCATGTGTGAGGAACTGGGTTAGATTTATGAGGTCTCAGAACCACATAAAAAATAAAAATAAAAAAAGATATTGTGTCCATCTACGGCTAAAAATATTTTTTAAAGAATATCACCTGAAGAGTTTTAAAAGGCCATTCTTTCCTGAAAATGTTAGCACTTAGTGCAATCAAGATGAAGGGTGTTTGCTGTAGGAGTCTTTCAATTTTTCAGTAGGACTTAAAGTGATATTACTCAAAATAAAAAGTTTTGGTGGAGGTAACTGAGCCTTGCTCCCAGATATTCTGATCCAATGGGTCTAAAGTAGGGTCCAGACACTGCTATGTTTTAAAAGCTCCCCTGGGGATCCTAATATATAATCAAAGCTGGAAATTGCTGCTATGAACTCTTGTCTTTTTCAACTTCACTCAGTGAAGAGAGTGAGTCTCCTCTCTTTTTCCCTATCCAAATTTCCAAATTCCTGGGCTGTGGACTAATGAGCCCAGCTGATGTTATTCCCCAATGCAGTGGGCTCCAGTGAGGCACATTATTCAAATGGCAGCACACCTGTAGTGGGGCAAGGGAGAGCCTAGGCAAGTAATTAGTAATAATAATGATAATAATAATGCTAAAAGTAATAGAGTTCAGCATATTCCTCCAAAGCAAGGCAAAGGGAGTCCTGAACTGCTAAATTTGAGAACATGTGGCAACTGTTGCTAACTATTATTGTAGCTATTTTTTTCAAATTATATCTTTGTTTGAAAGAATGCAATGATGGGAATTAATTTTTCTTAGTTTGAAAGTTTTATGGGACAAAACAAATATTTTAATATATTTGATAACAAAAAAACACAACTCTATCCATATCAGACTAGTCCTTACAAGTTGTGATGCATAAAATGATGTCTAATAACAAATACTATGGGGTATTTTGCTTGACATAATGCTCTAGTTGTAGCAGGCATAAATTTTACCCCACAGCGCACTAAATTTTAAAAATATCACATTTCTTCAAAGATTCTCTGAATCAGTTAAGAGGCTCTGCATCTTCCTCAGTCCCCTTCTTTCTTCCCAGTGATTTTGCAGAAAATTCCAACCTAGTCTTATGTCTGGAGGGGCTGTCCCCTTGCTAAGTAATACTTCTGAGAGTCTTAAATAGTCTCAAATTGTCATTACAGCTGGAAGAGAGTGGTACCATCATTTCTAAGCAAACTGAGCATTGAGATTCTTAATGGTCCCTAATGATTTGGATCTCGGAGTTCAGTTCTTCCTGCACCCTGAGTCACCTACAAGGTCCTCTCACCTCTAGAGGCATCGATTGGGTGGTATATATGAGCTGATGACTAGGGAGTCTGCCAATAACCTGTCCAAATTCAAACACCAGGGGGAACCTCTTCTTCCTTGGCCCAAATCTCTCTCTTTTCCCCAGTATTCACTCACCATCACCTTCTGAGACAAGTGTGTGCATAAAACACATGGGTAGGAATTGTGTTTAGGTACCTAGTAGTTTATTTTGATTTGTATATATAAAAGCACTTAATTTTCTACTGAAGCAGGAAACTTAAAGCTCAGAACTTAAAAAAAAAAAAAAGTTCTAAGAAGCTAGCCAGACAGACACAACCCCAAAATGTTGTCCAAAGGGTTCTAAGCTCAGAATCCTCTCTTGAAGGTGGGGAGGGACAGCCAGGAGGGCACCTCCGTGCTTCGGTAGATGGCACTGAGGAAGGAAAATGAGGGAGTCATGATGCTGATGCAGAATGTCTAAATGGTGACATGTTCCCTGCTGGTTTGAGGAGAGAAATTGGGCTTCCTGTGGCAACAACTGGACTTTGGAAGACAGAAAGTCTCTGTGATCCTGAAGAAACAGAGCTGGAAGAGAGAGGAGGAAGAATACGGGATGAGGAAAAAGCACTTCCCAAGCCCCTGAGAAGTGGCAGAAACTGGTCCAGACAGAGCAGCTGGATACCTGCAGGGAGAGCAAGACCAGATGTCACCACGTGGCAAAGCTGGGGTGGGTACAACGCCCAAAGACCAGCACAATTGCACATCTCAGCAGAGGCTGGCAGTGGGAGCACATCTTTGGATGTTTATTTCCTAATGCTAGGACATTGTTCCAGAAAAGAAAAGAGGAGGGAAAGAAGGAGGAAACCCTTGAATTAATCAAAAGAGGCTTAGTTTGAACCGAAACTCAATGAGTTTCTTTGTAAGGGAAAATTTTCCACCGTTGGCTCAAATAAGGACTGTAGTGCTTATTAAGTTCAGTTATAGTTTGAGAACCAGTCACATCGGTGCCCATCTAGTTTTGTAAGCAACACATGTTCATGATACTTGTGTACTTATCTTCTGTGTAGACATTGGGTATTGGTTCTTCCTCCACGATTTATCCAGAAGGCTTTGCTGTCTCCAGAATGGTGGCTGCACCTTGGATGTCCTTTTCACCCAAGGGCTCTGCATCTTAGTTCTTGGTTGCTGTCCTGGAGTCTTTCTCCCATAAAGCCATTTCAAAATGTATTTGATGCAAAAGTCCCATCCTACTCCATAGCCATATTCTAAATAAAGCATCATTTGAAACAAAACCATCGATGCCCCAACCGTGTACTCATTCATTTAATCATCCAGAATGAGAGAAAACCTAATGTTTTCAGACATACAAAGATTAAGAGAGTTTATCATCCACTGATCTTCATTAAAGGGAGTCTGAAAGTGTATCTTCTAGTAAGAAGAAAAAGCAAATATAAGAAAAAGAAATATAAGAAAGAATGTGAAATGTAAGGACCCAAAGGGGGAGATGAGCCTTCGATTTGGAGAACTGAAGAGACAGAAATACCTTCTGGTCGTAAAAGTTAGACAGCTCCCTATGTTCATATAGCTTTTTTACTTTTGAACATCTATTCTTTTTTCCTCTTTCTGTTTATAAAGTAACCACAAACAATTATTCATAATTCTCTCATGTCTATTGTTATCTCCATCTCTACATCTATGCAAAGAGAGAGGAAGACTGACAAACATCAAATAAGATAGAGCTGATGTACGTAAGGAACCCAAACACCAACTTGTTGTCCAGTTAAAATGTAACTACTGTGTGCATTTTAATGTCCATTATTAAGTCGCTGAGTCAAGTGGTCCACATTTTTAATTCGTCTCCTGCCCTGCGATCAGAGCAAAGGTGTTACTTCAAGTTTTTCCCTTTAATATTCTCATTTTGTGAAAGAGGAAATGGAGTTATCAGTCAACAAAGAACACAGTTATGAGGATTTACATGATGTGAATATTCAAATTTGATGCTTTCACGAACAACAGTAGGTCAGAAATCATTCTTTTGTGATAGATTGTTATATATTTATATGTGTTTTTTAATAACATTTACCTTAAAACTGTTATTATTTTTATGTCAGACTTTTTCATTTCTCAGCCTTTACTCATGTGAGTGAGACAGTATTGGGATCCTTTTGCAGAACTATAAAGCAGTGTGACACCAGGTGCCCTGCGGTTGTGATAATAACATGGCTTTTATAGAAGAAAAGTCTATTGAAATATGAACAATAGTAAACGTGTTTCAACAAAAATTATGTAATGGAAAAATACAAATCTTGTATATGTAGGCTAAGTGGTACCTAAACATCAACTGAATTTCCTAATTTTTCTTTGTTTTGAGATTTGGCCCTCTTTCTGTATTTCTCCTGTTGATTAATGGCATCAAAATTCCTGACTCAGAAAACATAAGTATCATCTTTTTATCCCTGTCATCTAACCTTTTTATTATTTTATTTTATTAAAATTTTTTTTTAGTTGTAAATGGACATGATACTTTTATTTTATTTATTTATTTTTATATGATGCTGAGGATGGAACCCAGTGCCTCACACGTGCTAGGCAAGTGCTCTACCACTGAGCTACAACTCCAGCCCTCCCTAACCTTTTAATCTTTTCCCTTCAACCCAAGTTTTAGTAGCTTCCCCCTTTAGTCTCCCTATTTCTGATTTGGCATCAGATCCTATTAGGCTTGCTGGCTTTGGACCCACTTGCCTGCCATTGCCTTGGTTTGGATCCTTCTAGTTGTTCATCTGGGTGGAGGAATGGCCTCTCCACTGTCTCCAGCCTCTGTGGTGGCAAAATAAACTTGAGAAAGTGGAATCTGATCCTGTCATTGGAAGATTTGATAGCTCCTCTGTCCATGGAGGAATTTGTTTGCTTTATTGCGGCACAGAATCAGCCTGATTTTGGTACCAGTTTTTATTTGACTGAGTAGCTGCAGGCCTTAGCTCCTACTGCTCCTGTAATGCTCCACGGTGACCTTCTCAGACATCCCTGCCTCACCTGGGTATTCCAAACCTTCTCTGGATCTGCTGCTCCTCTACCTGGAACACTATTCTTCACCACTGCCCCCGCAGTGGCCACACTCAGTGCCACCTTGTTTCTGATCCACCCCCAAATCCATTATTTTATACCTGAGTTTATTTTTTCTTGCCACAGGCCTCAAAAATAAATTTTATATGGCTCAGGGAGGATACTTAGAGCATTAACTGTTACCATCTTTATTACCTGTCTTCCTTAATTACACTGTAGCTTCCTGAAGGGTCAGACCATGGCCTATTTTTCTTCATAATCATCTCTAGAGCCTGATTTTTACCCTGGAAGAAAGAGGCCTAAAGTGAATATTTTCTAAATGAATAAGTGAATGAATGAATGGAGAAAGAAGGCCCAGAGAAACCATGTACCCTGCCAAATTTCATAAAATTAGTCATGACAGAATTGGGAGAAGAACACAGAGCTGACTTCCAAATTACTTCATTCTCTTTCTACCACAATGTTAATAAGTTTCATTTTTCCTATTATAAAAATAATTATTTGTAGAAAATATAGAGTACAGAGAAACGTATGCAGAGAAATTTTTCTCCTTTTGTCATAGTTATTGTTAATATTGTCCTATATTTATTTCCAGTGGTTTTGTTTTTTCTTCTTAAGAATAATTTGTAGAAATTAGAAAAATCTCAAGTATAAAAATGAAAATGAGTCACTCATATTTCCATCTCCAGAATTACTTGCTGTTTGTTAGCATCGTGTTGTATTTATTTCAAGTCTGTTTCTTACTCTTTCCCTCCTTTGAAAACCATGCTTTTCTTAAAAATGATACATGTTGTTACAAAAAATTCAAAGAGAACAAAATATTTCCAGGAGAAAAGTAAAAGAAACCATAGAAAATCCTGCTACCTAGAAATAATCATTGTTAATGGCTAACCCTTATTCCACCTATTTTTATAGATATCAACAGGACATATATAAAGACACGGTAGATCAATGGGTAGATCGATATAAAACAAAACAGAAAAAGTACAGTTATTAATAATTATGTTCTATTTGCTTCTAAAATGAATACATTCAATTTTATTTAAACTAAATAGAAAAAAGGAATGTCAAATGAAACCTGAAGGATTGTTGAACTTATAATTTTTTCTCACAAGAAATGTTATTTTCTAAATAACATAACATACTCAAAAACAGTTAATAAAATATATTGTGGGTGGAAGCAGTTATTTTTTAAAGTGGCCCTGTTAATTGTACAGGCCATGTGGATTTATTCCCACTGGAAAGATGAGGTCTCAACAATTTCTTAGTCAGTCCTTTGACACCCAATTTTTGACAGCTACATTATGCTTTCATATTGACCTTTTTTATGGCTAAGTTTCAGCAAAAAATGGTCTTACATTATAGCTGAATGCATTTTTTTTTTTCCAGAGAAGGTTCATATTATCTCTATACGTCAGGGATTACATTTATTTTTATTCTGGTTATCTTTATCCATTTTCTATATTATCTTTCTGTCTTTTTATTTGTCCTTTACTTTATCAGCATTTCTGCTGATAAATCTTACATGTTGATACTTTAGTGTTTTATTAGTGTCTCTTTGTTTCAAGCTCCTGATTGATTTATGAATTTTATGTTGCTATTTTGATTTTTGAACTTTCAAATTTATCTCCTTTGAACTTGGGCATTAAAAACCATGTTCATGTTATCTTGTTCTGTACCTTAAACTAAATTGTGAAACATTTTCTTGCCTGTGTGTGCATGCGCGCATGTGTATTGATGTTTAGATTTGAGTTCTTTGGCTGTCTTTCAGAAGCTCTGCTCCTTTGTGTTTTTCCTTAAAATCTTTCTCTATAATATGTTTGAGTCATTGGGATGTATCACCTTTTACCTTGCTAGTGTTTAAATTACTCTGGTATACAGTGGGTGATTTCTTGATTTCTCCCTCTCTGTACCTGACACTAGTTCATTTTTGCAAGGGCACGGTTTAGGGTCTGGGTATTTTGTGCTCTGTTCACTTTTCTTGCAATCTAAGGGAATACCCAGGAGAAGCAGAGTTCTGAGGCAGCATTACACTGCATGTATTAGTCAAGCTCCCAGCTAACTCTGAATACAAGTTACCTGAAAAGGACCCAGCTGAAAAGAATAAATTGAAGAAATTTAATGAAGAGATTCTTTAGATAGTAGGCAGGACTCAAGACCCAATAAGGGAGGCAGCGGGGGCCCAGAAGAAGTGGAAAACCATTACTATCACTAACTTCGAAGAGGCATGAGAAGGAAACCATTAAAGTCCAGTGCCAACTGAGGCATAAAAAGAGAAAATGCCCAACAAAAACAACAGCCAGAGAAAAGCAGCCACGTCTAGGATTCTAACTGCAGAGGAAGGAGAAATAAGGAGTATGTCTCCTCTTCTCCCTATTCCTACCCCCCCATCGTCTGCCAGTGACTCCCATTAGAAGAACCCTCACTGGAAACCGAGGCAAGACAGTGTGCAGAGGTCAGCTTCTTGGACAGAGTGGGATTTAGAAGCACAGAGAATAATTCTGATGAGCGACAGGGAACAAATACAGAGCCAGTTGCTCATGTGGGCATAACTCTGAAACTGAGTTTTTGTTGCATGGTGTCAGAATTCCCTCCATTTCCATGGATCATAGATGCCAATGGCAAATGTTTTAAGGCTATGGATTGTTTCTTTGTCTGGGTAGAGCCTTGGAGTCTTCATTTCCCCAGAGAGGCAATCTCATCATTTCCTCTCTACAGTTCACAGTGTATCCCCAGCTTCCCGTTCTAGAGCTCTTTGGTTGGTTGACGCTGGGGTTTGAATGTCCCCTCTACAGCTCATGTTGAAGCTGTTTAATTGCCATTGTAACTGTGATAAGAAATGGGGCTTTTAAGAGGTTGATTATGTCATGAGGGCTGTGTTTCCATGAATAGACTAAGGCTGTTATCTTGGGAAGGAGTTGGTTAGTAGGGAAGTGGGTTCCTGATAAAAAGATGAATTCATCCTGATTATTCTGTCTCTCCTGTGCTGTCACTTTTCATGTTACAATGCGGCATGAAGTCCCTCTCCCAAAGGCCAAGGCTGTGGTTTTGGTTGCCCAGCCACCAGAACTGTGAGTCAAATAAACTTCTATTTGTTATAAATCATCTGGTCCATGGTAATCTGTTGTACAGCAGAAAATGACTAAGACAGATGAGGAAAAGCAAAAGGCCTCACCTTTGCTTCTCTCTAGATTTCTGGGCATTTCTGGCGTTTCCAGAGATTCTGTCTACACTGTAGTTTGGTTAAGGGGGAGAGGAAAGGGGGATAAACTTTAGGAGCTGTGCTCTATTACTGCATTTCACTCCATTTCAGAATTAAATTTTTTTCCTTTAATAGTTTTTGAATTGTTTTTTTAAATCTTACACTTTATTTATTTATTTTGCAATTAGAGAATTTTTTTTTTTTTTTTTTTTTGCTGGTTTTCAGCATTTTGTTGGGTGCCAGAAGTACTCTGATTTAATTCCAGATGGATAAGAAATCCTACTAGTGTTTTTCTCTGGTTGTGCCTTGAGGATCATGTTGACTGTTTATCCTCCCAATATCAAGAAGTTATATAATACTGCTATCTCATGTTAATGAATTATCAAGACTCTTGACACACACACACACACCTTAACATCATGCTGTTTACTGTACTTTAAATTATTTCTGTACAAAAGCTCAGAAGTCCTGCTAGCGCTGCCATAGTCAGACTTTCCCTAGTTGTTTAGAGTTCCTATCCAAATTGTGTTGATTTTTACAATCTCTATCTTGGCAGCATCTTACTATCAGATGAAATTCTCTTTGATTTTGTGGTGACTCATGAGGTGGATGATTCTCAGGGCACACCTGGACCAAGTGCCTGGCATAGATGTCATCTGCACATGCTCGTCCCTGTTCACTGTTCACATTCTAGATGTGAGTTGGCACTGCTACATAAAGAGGAAGGTATTCAAATCAAAAAAGGTTTGGAGAAACTGGTTGAATCTCAGAGGAACTAGTGAAAATGGCTTAAGGTTTAGCAAACTGGTATTCTGGAGAAAATTGAAGGCTCACCAGATCTATGAGTAGGTTAACTGTGAGGGTGATTTGGGGCATGAAAAATCATCCTTGCTTCCAAACATTTAGCCTGTCGACCTGAGCCAGTGCTTCCACTTCCTACTGTTGGAGATGCTTCCTCTAGAAGATCCCTGAAAAAAATATACATTTAGCTGAAATAAAAAAAAAAAAACCACAAAACTACTGGTATTCATCTTCCTAGAGATGATGACCAACACTTGCTATTTTCAACAAGTACAGGAAGGAAGACACAGACAGAATAATGTACACTCAGCCTTCTGCATCTGTGGATCAAACAACTGCAGATCAATCTGTACTGAGCACATACAGACAACATTATTGTCATTCTTTCTAACATAATATAACAGCTATTTATATAGCATTTCCATTGGAATAATTATTTTAAGAAATCTAGAAATGATTTAAGGTAAAAGGGAGAATGTGGATAGGTTATAGGTAAATACTGTGCCATTTTATATAAGGGACTTGAGAATCCTCATATTTTGGTGTCTATGGAAAGTCTTGGCACTAGTCCCTTGTAGAAACTGAGGGATGATTTCATTTAAGAGTCTTATCTAAGAATCTAGATCTTTCAATAACTTGCAGTATGAACTTGGGCAAATCACTTGCTATCTGAACCATGATTTTCCCTCTGTTAGACAAGGAAAAAATGATATCTATTTTGCTTACTTCATAAAATTATTATGACATCAATTTGAAAGTTATACTGAAATGCTCTGAAAGAATTAGATACATACAAAAATTAGCTCTTTCATATTTTAGAAAAGTCACATGATATTCTGGAAAAAAACCTAAAAGATAACAAACCTAGGTTCAAATCCCAACTATGCTGCCTGGTAATTGAAAATTGGGCAGGGTCAATTTTTAGTTCCTTAACATTGGAAAATTCTGGAAGTCATTTCAGAAACACAGAATTGTTTGAAGGCCTAAAAAGAGCTAACATCCACATGGCCTCTGACAAAGAATAAATGTTTGCTTTACTCTCCTCTGCCCTTCCACAATGACTGCACTCAGGCAGGAGGTACACCTGGTCACTGACCAAGGGTGACATGATGGGATGGTTAATGACGGACGCTATGGAATCTTCCACCCCTGAGATCATCTGAAGTGTATATCCACAGTCTGCCCGGCGAATTTTTATGGTTCTTTTTGGAATATCATTTGAAACCTCAACAATTGTAAAATCTAATTATGCAAGTAGTAGCCACAGACTATCAGCTGACAAAACTGGTGATTGAAATGTTCCTGGTTGGTAGTTAAAGTTCTGTCTGGAGTTTTGTTTACCTTTGTGATTGATGTGATTTGTGATGACTATCCCAATATTTTCTCTTTATTTTGTTGTTGTTAATCAAGATGTGAGAGGTCAACTTGCAAAAGATTTTTTTTTTTTTTTCAAAATGACTCTACAAAATTGCCTGTCTTTATTGGCCTGTGTGTGCGCGTGCGCACTTATACTTTTTAATTAAGCAAATGCTTTTTTTCTGAAGGGGCTGTGCATTAAACACGTCCCAGCATGTGATTCACACATTTTCTTTCTGCCTGTTGTTTCATGTTAGTGAGCTGTGCCTGTTGCCCGCCAACTGTATGGCTTTGGGGTGGAGGATTTTGATACAGATAGGAAGAGATATTTTATATAATTAAATTGCCAACAAAAATGAGAATCATTTACGGAATCTGGAACTTTGAGATACTTCCTGTCATGTCAATTACACCAGTTTTGCCCCTTAGGGTCTGTTGGTCTCTAAGAAGCAAGCCCATCCGAGTTCCCAGCCCTGAGGCTGTGCCTGGTTTCACTGTGACTTTCCCGTGGGGGCTGAGGGAAAGAAGTCATCCTGGTTGTTGTTTAATTTTTAACTGCTAGTACATTGCTTGGCAATGAGGGGTTCCATTTTTGTTTGTGAAATCAACACATAAATGAACATCTTAAGCATCTTCTTAAGGTTTGTAAATCAGACAAGAGAAGGGAAGAGTGTAATCTAGATTTGAGGATTGGAAATATTATCTCTTTGCAGATTTAGCCAATATATCAGTATACTCTGTGGTTCCATTTTTTTTAATGAAGGAGATAGTGAAGTAGTTTCTATATTTTAATTTTTTAAAAAAAAATTGTACATGTTGTACTTGGCACATTTCCCCTTGTGAAATTTTAGTACTGATGTGATTGCTTATTGTGGGGTGGGGCAAGTATGAATTACATGAGGTATTTTTTATTTATTTTTTTAGGTTATGTTCTTAAGAGATAAGTCTTTTCTGAAATGCATGTTTTTAATGAAGTTTTTGGCTTAGGCTACACAAAGACAACATTTCAGGCATTTGTTTGAGAGGCAAGAGTTATACTCCAACTATCCCTTCTTTTAGAGTCATAATCCAACCACCTGGGGTAGGGAGATGGGAACAGTTGGATACCAGTGGGGTAGGGAGATGGGAACAGTTGGATACCAGTGGTTTTCAGGAAAAAAAAAAATGGCAAGAAGGCTCTGGGTGGGGAGGAGCACCATGTGGTCGAAATATTAGAGCCATGCTTCTATTTTGCCACTATACCCTTTTACTTCTTCTGAATTTTCTGTGGATCTGAAAAAGGAGTTAATGACTCTGGCTTAATGTCAACAAAACTGGAAGAAAACTGTTTTCATTTGAGCCTAGATTAAAACATGCCACTGTATTTAAAAAGCAATCAGTTTTATAAGCTAAACACAAAAATGTTAACTCTTGGAAATTTTCCTTTCAGTCAAAAGAATTGAGAATAAGCTAAAAAGTCACTAAGAAATAGAGTCACCATTGTTGAAATAAGAAAGGTCACACTTCAAAATCTAACAAAGGAGTGGCTCCTGTCTAATGAAGATCATTCCCACATAAAACTCAGAGTGCTTACTTTGTCATACATAGATATTTAATTTTAGTAATAACCAAAAAACATTTTGAAAAGCATTAAACTTAATTATATTTCAACTTTAAAGCAAAATGATAATGTAATAAAGATTATATTTTAATACAACACACTAAAATTTTAAGCAAACAAGATGATTTTCATCTTGATTTGCAGAAATGAATAAATTACTCAACTTTTTTTTTTTAATTTACTTGAGTTTTGGGGCCAAGTAATACTAGCTTTATGAAAGTTTGTTGTCTCTTTCTTAAAGAATTTATAAAATTTGTTTTAGACATGAGAAGGAACATTGAATATGATGAAAATTATTAAAGTTAATTCAAAAAAAGTATGGACTTATTATCAAATGGTATGAGAATTATGTCAACATATTTCTAGTTTTTTAGTTTTGATGATTTTGCACAAAGCAGTAATTGCATTGTGGTAATGATTCTAATGGGTCATTTGGATGGTTTTTATAATGGAGTCTCCATGTCTTTGAATGACTCAAGTTGGAATAAAAGATAGAAAAAAGCTACCACTTAACTTGAAATTGTGTGTCCATCTGTGTTGCCACCAAAGACACATAAAAGTGATGAGCAATAATGTACTCCCTTTGCCCCTTTGTGTAAAAGCTACAGACTTTGCAGAAAATAGTATTAGCAACCAGGCTGAAATAGGCAATACAAAATTTTTAAAACAATTATTGAATTTCAGTGGAATTTCGGCTAGACTAACATTTCAGTGCAAGAAACATGATTGAAAAATTGTTGCTGTCTAGTCTTTAAAATAATGACATGGTTTACTATAGAACTACACATATTTGGGTAAAGATTTATTTTGGACTAAAAACGGTCAAGTAACCAATATCAATCATTTTGATAGCTTCTGGATTTTGTGATGACATCCACGTCTTCTTAACCCTTTTATTTGAGAATGAAGACATCAAATCTCTTTCACAGATGACCTTGCTCAGGATGAAAATATTAAAATTATTAAAATTTAATATTCGCATTCTTAACTTTGGTGAATCCTTTATAGAACTCAGATCCTGATACAAATCCTCAGCTCTTTCCACCCACTTTCTCCCTTTCACTTCTTCTCTTCCTTCCACCCTATCTCCCTCCCTCCTTATTCCTTTATTGAATGTATTATGTTCCCACCACTTGCCAGACATTCTTGGTGTCAAGAAATCCATTACGTTTTGACATCATTTCTGGTAAATATAACAATAGCAGATTAGTTTTGAAGAAATCACTACCTATCCATGACAATTACTGGGGAGGGTGGGATAATAGGCCAAGTTTGGTGCTTACTGTCTTTCAAAAAATGTATCTTGGCTGAGCTTACCCATAGGAACCCCAGCTCATCTTCCACTATAGCCACCTACACGTTTCTCAGCCCTGCCGAACCCAGAGAGTGAACCATCATTCCTGCTGCCCAAACACAGGCTGTTATTTATTATACCTCGTAGGCGAGATGCAATCTGGTAAGCGGCAGCTTCATTTGGAGAGATTCCCATGTTAGGTGTGACTTGTAAGCTGGTAGCAGAGGGTGAGGGATCGATCAGCAATTGCCTGTACCTCCCCGTGTGGGCTGGTGCTTACACCTGTAGCCTCCTGGTGAAGTTGATGGGTCACCACCTCTGGAGCAGAGAATTCTGAGTGGACAGCACTGAAGACGGAGCCCAGTCTCACAGGCTGATGGTCTACGGTGGCATAGAATGATGAGAGCTTCCAATTTGCAATATTTTGCCCTTTTGTTTATTTTTATAGAAGCAAGAAATTCAACTGTGTGGAAGACAATGACTTGTACACTTTTGTTCTTCTGTTTGGTGTTTCTTTTGCCCACAGAGTCCTGTAAGATATTAAGTCAGGTAAGAAAAGGGGAAAAGGTGGAGGAAATGGGTGGGGAATGTAAATGGACAACAGAATCCATCAACCAGCTCTCAGTTTCCTGAGAGTCCATGTGCTAGAGAGGATGATGATGGAGTGACAGCCCTGACAGAAGAAACTGCAGCTACAGTTAACAAATACCCATGTCAGCCAGTAGCTACAAATTATTTTCCCCATTTTATTCTGAGATGCAATAAGATTGAAATGAAGGGAAATAAACTTCTTTCCATATCCTTTCGCTTGCTTATAATCAGGGTGATGCTATTTCCTAAGAGGCTCTTGAAAATGTAGAGGTGGTGGGAGTTACCACCATGACTGGGAGTTATTAATTGGCATTTAGTTGGCAGGAACTAAACCTGGATTGGCACAGTAGTGCATCATCTTAGTCAAAATGGCAAAAGCATCTTCTTTGGGAAACTGATAATGAATAGCAAAAATGGGCCTCTCTCGGGAATATTTTCTTTCATACCATAGGTCATTTAAATTTCCCTATTAGTTGCTTATTTAAAATAAGGTGTGGAAAGAAAGTGTGAGCGAGAGAAAAAAAATATTTTGAGCATCTTGAGATCTTGAGAAGAGAGTATTATTATTTGACCACAGGTCTGAGATTGACAGGTGAAGCTCCACTCCCTTGTTTTATAGATGGAGAGATTGAGGCCAGTGTTGTAGAATGTAATTTGCATGAGGTATGCACCCTGCTCAGCTACAGGGCCAAGGTGAGAACATCTGTCTTCAGATTCTCAGCTTCTTGCTATTTCCATTTTAATATGTTCCTTTTTAGTAAAGCCTTCTTGAGAGAGGAGCAGGGGAAACTCAAAGTTCTTTTTAGCAGTTTTCCAAATAATATTTACTTTCTAAGTAGTTTGCCTTAACTAGTGTGGGTGGGACTCTTTTCCATGAGTTCCCTTCTGCCAACACAGAATGCATATCTGGTTCCAGGAGAAATTAAAGACCCTTTAGAAGCTTTTTCGCTGGAGGCACTCCAACCCCACAACATGGTACTATTTCCCTTCTTAATTTGATTTTTTTAATCCACAGTTTTCTTTTTAAATTTTTTTAATATTTATTGTTTAGTTGTAGTTGAACACAGTATCTTTATTTTTATTTATTTTATGTGGTGCTGAGGATTGAACCCAGGGCTCTAATGTGCTTGGCATGCACTCCACTGCTGAGCAACATTCCTAGTCCCTAATCCACAGTTTTGTACCAGACAGAATGTGGAGTGTAGACAGAGGATGGGAGGTTGGCTTTGTTTTTCTTGATTGCTGGGATCACCTCATCAGGGACATTTTGTCCTTTTTTCCCTCTATTATAGAAGTTTCTGGGCACTGAACAGTTGGGAATTGCCCCCTCTTGACTTGCCCTCATACTGGGGCAGCCTAACCAGTTGAGCAGGCTGCCGATTTGCAGCTGTCTTTTTTATGTTATTAGGTTGAGAATTGTTGGTATCTGAAGCTGAAGTGATCCACACTGCATGCCCCCTAGAAATGAAATGATCAGAGGAGTCACATATGGCATGCTTTGGAAAATAGCTGGGAAGGATTGAATTAGGTCCTTCATTTAAGAAGACAGGTTTTCCAGAACTATTTGCAAACTTCATACTATGGCCTTCTGCCCACATACCTGATTGATATGATGTGACTTCACTGGAGTTGGTTTAATGGGTCAAGTCTCATCCAGAGTGTTGACTTCCTACTGCATTTCCCATAGTGTATTGAAGAACATGGCTCTATCAGGATGGGTTTGGGGCCCCTTGAGAAGCCTATGCTTCCTTCCACATACCTACTCTGCCTGTTGCAGGTAGACATGGGCTGGCTCTTTGAAAAAAAAAAAAACCTGCTCCCTAAGGAGATATAAAGTCCTAGTCTCAGCCATGAGAGGAACTCCTTATATAGCCTTGTGCAGGGCACCTCATCTAGCAAGGCCTCGGTTTTCTTATCTTTAAAATAAGGGGGTTGGGCTGGGTGATCTAAAGAATCTTCCAGAACTCTTAAGACTATTATTTTAGTACTCTTTTAGTGGAAGAACTTTAGCTATTTTGCTTATGTAATAAGACTTTATTCTCTTGCCTATAAAATAAGCCATATCACATCCATGATTTCAAGGATATTCAGTCCTGTGTTCCTAGAATTCAAAGGGGCCTCTAGAAGCAAAGTGAACCTTCATTAATTTCTCTGTAAATCCACCTCTGTCCACAATGTGTTTTGTGGACAGAGTGTGGACTGTTCTTACTGGAGACAGAGGTGGATGCCTGCTACATGCAATGGGAAGGAGGGCCGAGGGGAAAATGGGGCCACGGGCCATACTTCACAGCTCTGAAGTATGATTTCAGTGGCCACACTGGCCTCACAGCTGATTCAGACATAGTTTTTCATCTGTGACTAAAATGAACCATTGGGATTACATATCAACAACTGATTTTGACATGAATATTTTTATTTTTCTGTCTAGGCTGCCAACAAAAACACGGAGAAGGTACCTGCCAGGCCACATGGTATGTTGGCAGCAGTTCCTAATCACATGGAAGGCTGACTGTTCCTATATTGTAACAGAAGGCCATTCTCAGTCCTCTGTCACATGGCATAGCAGATGGGACATCTTGGTAGCTTGTATTTGGACTCTGTTTTTTTTTTTCCCCTTGTGTTAAAATGTGCCTTTGACCACAGGTGTGTTCCTCTTTCCTCCCAGCATTCCCTGCTCCATCCTGGCCGGAGACTTCTTTGCCACAGATCTTTTGTATTGAGTGGACTCAAACTAGGGAGGTGGCTAAAAGGGATCCGTAAAAGCTCATTGATGATGTGACACACTATAAGTTTCTAGAACTGAAGGGCTTCTCTGGGAACATCAGGGACAGTGGATTCCAAATGAGCTGATCTGGAAAGCTTTAGCAATCTGAGGAGTTGCCCAGGGGTTTCTGTGGGCACAGGAGAGTGACCCAGTGGGCTAAGCTGTGGACTCTTCTGGCCCAATTTAACTGGGGCAATTCCACTTTTATATGTTTTATATATTGGAGTTCAGGATAAGATTCTATCAGACACGATAGGATTTTGTTGCTGAAATATGTGATGCCCACTGATTCATTTTAATCTTCTGCCATTTTACCAAGAAAAGATACCTGACATCCACCAGATTTATGTGCCTTTACTTCAGGGACACCTTGGTGATTGGCCCAGCATAACTTTGATCTCAGAGCTTTCTGATATGGACATCTTTTTTTTCTCCCAGGTGTATGTGATTATGTCTGTATGGACAATTCCCATTGCAGCCAACCTTGTCCTCCAGGTACTGAGGGAAATATGGGATTTTCATGCAGGAAAAACAAATGGTACAAAGTTACTGATACCTGCCGGACTCTTAATGCCTTCAACATCTTTGAGGTAATGTCCTGTCTCTCATAACATGGATTCTTTTGTGGGCTCTCTGTAAAAAGTGGAACCTTGAATTAGCAATTCATATTGGGCTTAAATTAGGGGGAAGACGAACATGAGGCAGGGTGGTAATAGGTTGTTTGTTAATACGTAAATACCTACATATCTCTACTCTCTTAATTTTGGGCATTTGTGCTTCAGTTCCTCACACCCTTTCTTGACATGAAGGAACCTGCTCATTTAGGTTAGAGCTCCAATGGGTGCCACAGTTGTCACTGAAAACTGCTCAGTTAGCCCTTTAACACCCCAAAGCTCTGATTCACAAGGCATCCTTCACCCACTGACAGCAGCCCTGGAAACTTTTTAGACATGTGGAATTTGGGCCCCACCTTGGCCTGCTAAATCAGAATCTATTGTCTAGCAAGATCCACGGGTGATTTCTGTTGTCGTTCAAATGTAAGAAGCCAGCTGGCCTAAAAGGAATGACTTTGTCATCAAACGGACATTTTCATATATACTTAAGTAATTAGATAGCTTTTTAATTAAAGTCTAATAAACTCAAATCAAATGCTATTTCTTCTCCTTTGCTTCTTTTTCTCCTTTTCTGGCAGGGGCTTTACTATTGTTCAGGTAAATCAGCTCCTGGTTCCTTCAGAGGAGTCTCTGCTTTAGCTTTTCTTTTGTTTTAGGAACATTCCTTTGTTGTTGTTGTTGTGTTTGTGCACATCTCTAGGGAGTATTTAGTGGGTATTAGACCAGAAGTCTCTGATCAGACTTCAAGAGGCTGCCCAGTTCTAACATCTGGGGAGATTGAGCAAAGATGTATGTGCAGACCCACACACCATATGTCTTAATATTTAAATGTTTTTAACTTAAAAATTGCTAAATAAGATATAACCTGTCTGCTTCCATCCCAGATTCCATTCTATTCCTCAAGGGCAGTGTACAGCCAAGGTCTATAACCCTGAAAACATCTATAACCCTGAAAACAGTGCCTCTTAACCTCTTACATCCCTAGGATGGTGGTGTCATCTAGCTTTGAGGAAGAAGCCCTTCCAGGCCCTAGAAGTGGACCTGGAGTGTTGAGTAGGGAATTTACATGTCTCTAGCAGGACAAAGGGCTCTGCATTGGCATGTCTTCTAGATCCATAGACTCCTCTTCCTGTGAAAGGGTAGGATGGAGGTCCTTTCGAGCAAGGTCAGCCAACTTTCCTGTAAAGGGCCAGACAGTGAATAATGTCGGTTTTGTGGGTCACATGTTCTCTGTTACTGCTATACAGCTCTTCCATTATAGTGTGAAAGCAGCCATAGACAATACTTAAGTGAATAAGCCAGTGGAGTTCCAATAAAGTTTTATTCACAAAAGATAAAAAGCAAAAAAACCAAACAAACCAAAAAAAAAAAAAAAAAGACAGTTACCTAGGGGCCATGGTTTACCATTTCTACCATAAAGCATGGGACCCAGAACCTGAATCAATGAGAAATACCGTCTTTCACTGTTTTTAGACATTCTTGCATTCTTGTACCTCAGTGTCCTAATAGTTTTGTTCAATCTAGTTCAGTTATAGTCATGTCTCAGACTTTGGTTTTGGGGAATAGTAATAATAAGCTTAAATTTCACTAGAAATCTAGTCTGTCTCTCTGTCTCTGTCTCTCTGTCTCTCTCTCTCTCTGTCTGTCTCTACACACACACACACACACACACACACACGCACAGATGCACACATAGTATGTATATACAGAGGCTGTCCAAAATCTAATGTGAAAGATGACAGTTGCTGTTTTGAAGGAGGGGTTAAGGAGTAGGCTATTGGATTTTTTTTTTTTTGGTTCATTTACCTTGGTATTGATCAAGTTATTCTACCCAAAATGTGACTTTGAAATGGAAAACATAAAATCATTATGCAATTCACAATTGTACAATAAGCCTGGTAAATTTTGGTAAAAGTACTCTTACTCTTAACATAAACATGACATATTAAAAATTTCTTTGTTTTGGCTGTATCTTAGGAGGACTCATATTTAGCTAAACCATTTGGAGAAACCATAAGAATAAATGAATATGCTGGAAAATCTGAGACTATAACAGATATGTTGATGCAAAAGTGTCCAAAAGATTTGTCTTGTGTGATTAAAAACATTAAGCGGTCTCCCCGGATACCAGGAAACATCGCTGTCATTGTACAGCTCTTACACAACATTTCAACAGCTCTGCTGACAGACGTTGATGAGGCAAAGATGAAGGTGAGTGGCCTTGGATATTTAGTAGAGCACTGTCTACATGTAAAAGGAATTTAGGTTACTTGGAGTATTCTCTGAGCTTCCTGGAGGCTGAAGACTCTTCCACTTCAGTATTTCCAGTGTCTAGCATAGCAAGTGCTAAGTAAACTCTCAATGAAGACAGAAAGAATGAATAACTTGTTGAATTAACAAACATTTATAGACTGCACTTACTTGGGACTGTGGTGGACACTGGAGTCTGCTTTTCCAATTTTGGCTGCTGTAAACCTCTAAGAATCATTCTAGCTTTGGCAGAGAGAAACATCTTTCTTACTTTTATTTGTGAGTTAGAGCTGGTTACTAAAACAGAAAATAATGGAATGCCAAGAAAATAGCCATATTCTCTGCAGAAATGTTGAAATGGAACTGGATCTGTTTCTTTTGTTCAAAGCAAAGGGTAGTTAAAAAGTAGCTTCAGCCTCTGGGGTCAGTTTCCCATTTACTATGTTCCTGTATAGGATTCTGCAACAGTTGGAATTTAACAGATGTTTTTAATCACATGATGGGTACTTGACAGGTTAAGCAAATTGTAGTTTTGCAAACTGTAATTTTTGTGAAGTGGAATTGATGATAGAAATGAGCAGATTGCCTGGGGATCTTGTTCTGATGCTGATTCTGATTCATTAAGTCTGGGGTAGGATCTGGGGTAGGATTCTCTGCCTTTAAGAAGTTCTTAAGGGATGCCTGTGCTGCTGGTCAGAGGACCACACTTTGTAAAAGTGAATCTTGAATGCATTGGCTGTTTGAGAGTGGCTCAGTACTAATACCAGTTCTTCACTGGCAGAGTTACAGCACCATGGCCAACCACATTCTTAACAGCAAAAGCATTTCAAACTGGACCTTCATTCCTGACAGAAACAGCAGCTGTGTTCTGCTTCACTCAGTCAATTCCTTTGCAAGAAAGCTTTTTGTAAGTAAACATCCCATTGACATTTCAGACGTCTTCATTCATACCATGGGCACCACCATTTCTGAAGACAACACAGGAAAGAATTTCACTTTTTCCATGAAAGTTAATGACACTGGCAATGAAGTTACCGGGAGGGTGTTGATTAGTCAAGAAGAACTTCAAAAGGTGCCTTCCCCTTCTCAGATCATCAGCATTGCATTTCCAACTCTTGGGGCCATCTTGGAAGCCAGTCTTTTGGAAAGTGTCACTGCAAATGGGCTTGTTCTGTCTGTCATTTTGCCCAAGGAACTTAAAAGAATCTCACTGATTTTCGAAAAGATCAGCAAGTCAGAGGAAAGGAAGACACAGTGTGTTGGCTGGCACTCCCTGGAGAGCAGATGGGACAAGCAGGCCTGTAAAATGATTCAAGAAAACTCCCAGCAAGCTGTTTGCAAATGTTGGCCAAGCAAGTTGTTTACCTCTTTCTCAATTCTTATGTCACCTCAGACCTTGGAGAGCCCAACTCTGATTTATATCACATACATAGGCCTGGGCATTTCGATTCTCAGCTTAATCCTTTGCTTGTCCATCGAGGTCTTGGTGTGGGGTCAAGTGACGAAGACTGAGATCTCATACTTACGCCACCTGTGTATCGCTAACATTGTGGCCACCTTACTGATGGCTGATGTATGGTTCATTGTGGCTTCCTTTCTCAGTGGTTCAATGACACACCACAATGGGTGTGTAGCAGCAACATTTTTTGTCCATTTCTTTTACCTGTCTGTGTTTTTCTGGATGCTTGCCAAGGCACTCCTCATCCTCTATGGAATTCTGATTGTTTTCCATACACTGCCCAAGTCAGTCCTGGTGGCATCTCTCTTTTCAGTGGGCTATGGGTGCCCTTTGGTCATTGCTGTTATTACAGTTGCTGTCACTGAGCCTGGCAAAGGCTACCTACGGCCAGAGGCCTGCTGGCTTAACTGGGACACGACCAAAGCCCTCTTGGCCTTTGTGGTCCCAGCTCTGGTCATTGTGATAGTCAACCTGATCACGGTCACACTAGTCATCACCAAGACCCAGCGAGCTGCCATTGGCAGTTCCATGTTCCAGGAAGTGAGAGCCATTATGAGAATCAGTAAGAACATTGCCATCCTCACACCACTGCTGGGTCTGACCTGGGGATTCGGAATAGCCACAGTCATTGATGACAGCTCCCTGGCCTTCCACGTTATCTTCTCCCTGCTCAATGCATTCCAGGTAAGTCCAGATGCTTCTGCTCAAGATTGAAGTGAGAGAATATATGAAGAAGTTTTGTGATCATCAAAACTTTGTGGCATCAGATTATACAAAAGACAATTAAATAGCATATTGAGTAAGAAAATTAGCCTTTGTTCCAGAAAGGCCTGGATTTGAATTTTGACCCTCTTATTTACTAATAATGTTTAATAAGATCTTGGAATATTTACTTAACTTCTTCAAGCATATTTTTCTTGTACATAAAATGGGTATAATATTGTCCACTTCATAGAGTTGTTTGGAAATAAAATCATGATTGTGAAAGCATCAAAGTACTAAAATAATCTGAAGATCACAAGCAGGCTTCTAATAGGCTGACTTGTTACTGTTGAGAAATTAAACAATAACACCTCTCCCAAAATTTAGGGTTATAACTGGAGGTATTAAATTTTTTATTATATTTTCTGCCACTTAGAATTTTTAGTTGCCATTGGAAACCATCTTATTTTAACAAGTTGTGCTATATAGAGGGCATTAAAAATGATTTCTCTTCTCTCATATCTTGTATGAACTAACAACGTTCACAGTTTTATCCTTGACAAATTTTCTATGCTAATAAGATATTTTGCATAATATAGGGGTTTGAAAATAATGTATGAGAACAATGTTAATAACAGAGGATGCCTCACATTTCTATGGAAACTATTGTACTGTACATTTGTATAGCAATTAGTAATTATCAATTCCTTACACATGTTTACAAAACTAGTCATAAATAGGACTGAGGTGAGAACCTAGTTTCCCAAGTCTTAGTTCAGCATATCCCATACCTATCTTCCAAGGGACCTTAGCTCATGTCTCACCCCACAGCACTTTCCTTTTTTGTCTCCCTTGGGGCCATCTCACCTGTGATTTTTTCTTCTGGACTAGTCTGTGAGCACTTTGACCTGTCATACTAGGATGAATTGAAATTTCCATTCAGTTTTTGCCTTGATTCTGGGCCAGGAGCAGTTTGGGGCTCCGTGTGTAGAAGTCATTGGGGAGCTGAGAGCAGGGCATGGGTGAGGGCCAGACATTGGGAGGGCAGAAGGCGGGCTGTGCTGAAGCTGGCTTGTTCTGGCTCATGGGAACTGACACATTCTCAGGAATTTTGTGAGCTGGTTATAAACGCAATCCTCAGCAAAAATTAAAATGTGCAATGAAATAAATTAAAAACAAAGATCATACTTTGAGACTAATCACTTCCTAATCATTTGTCTAACATTTTACAATACTCTTGATTTGGGTTTGCTATATCCATATGATGGAAATACTAAATAATGATGTTCTACTGCCCATTTCTTCCTACCTTCATGCTCAGCCATATTGTATTGCTAGATTTAATCAGCCCCAGTGAGAGCACTTAACCATAGAGATGGGTAAATACTACAAATTAGGAGAGTTGATAGTTATTTACCAGCATCTCACTGGATCAATACATCCTCATGATGCCTAGGAAGGGAGGAGAGGAAGAGTAGTCAGTCATGGAGAGGAGATAACAGTCATGAGGCGAGAGACACAGAAAGCCAGGTAGGAAGAAGGAGGGAAACAGATTCTTAGGATGAGAAGACACAAGAGGCAGTTGAGGCTGACAGAGCAGAAAAGAGATTCTGAAATATGCTGGGAGGCCCAGAACGTGTGTGAGGAAGACTCTTCTGAAGATTTCCTGGTCCCAACCCCATGGGAGTATCTCCAATGGCTTAACCATCCCCTTTACTATGGAGGTGTATTAGGTAGTTAGCTGCTATCTTAACGATCCATAGTTACTTCTGATTGGTATCCCCTCCTGTTATTTATGGGAGGTAATTGTGGGCTGGGTGAGGTTTGGGGACCCCTTGTAGCTGTTTTAGTAGGAGAAATATACAGCACATATATTAAAACTTGGGGGAACACCTTGGGGTTTACTTGCTCAAATTGTGTTTTATCTACTAAAAGAAATGCAAAGATGCAGCTGATAAATTCTTATTAGGTACATTCTCTCATCCCTTCTCCTTCAGATATTAAACTTCATGACTAATCTTTTGTCTAAATCTTCTCATTGACATTTTAGGTAACTTTCCCCAAGGGGCACAAACCAATGAAAAGTGATTTTAATTGAACGTTTCCTTTACATATTTGTGGCTATACAGGGGCAGAGTGTACCATAAAGTTATTAAACACATAAAAACTCAGTACAGAGACACCATCCTTATTGAGTATTTATTTTGTGTCAGTCATTGTGCTACTGTTGTGGATATAAATATAAATAGGTCAACCCTAAGGAATTGAAAATCATATGAGGAGAGAAACTCTTCTTAGTCCTTTAGCCAAAGAATGCAGATTCTAAGCAGAAACATGCTAGAATGGTGGTTTCCAGATCTTTAACATTTTAAATTTCTGAGCCAGCCTCATTTAGATTCCGATTCCAAATGCATTCCTAGCACCAAAATCAGGCTGACACGTATTTGTCCTAAGCATCTTTTTAAGAATAATACTTTGTAGTCCAGAGGACTTTATTTTAGTAGAAACAATGACAGGTTTCAATAATTATCTTGTAGGCTAAGAGTGTCACACAAAAGAGCAATCTGATAAAAGCTATGTGTGGAGCAAGGTGTTGAATGTTTGTTGGACAGACTGGATGGAAAGGTATATATGTTTGGGGGAATGAATGAGCTGTGTGGCTATACACCTGTTCCTGTAAAGTCCTCCATCTCTCAGGTGGACTTTTACCAAACTGTTAGCTGTAGGTTGGGTGTTATTCTCACTGATGAATCTGATTCTAACATCCTTATGGTGCCAGTTGTATTAAGCCCACGAGCCTTAACAGGCTTCTGACTGGGTTTGTATTTACTTATGAAATTGGAGCAACTTCATAAGGAGGCCTAAAGAAAAGGTCATTATCTCACTTCCCTTTTTGATCTATAGTGTAAGTAATTGAACACTCAAGAAAACTCTCCCGCCCCCCCCCCCCATGGATATCTCTATCACTTAATGAAAGTGGAATGTCTGAGCTTTCTTTTCCTTATCTGAAAAATGGGACTACTCCCTATCCTTCCTTGTCCAGGGACTAAAACTGCAAAGGAACAATCTGTTTTTCGTTTTATGGGATCCTCCTCTTGTATGGATGGTAGGAGATTGAAGAACCAATCAATTCCCTCTATTTTATCTTCTTTGGAGCAGCTACAATTTGGTTAGAAAGTAAATCTATTTTATGATTTATTAATTTTTCTGAGTATACATATATTTGGTTTTTCTTTGCAAAGTTTTGTAATATTCTTTGCTGTGGATGGTAGAAGGAGTTTGAGTGTGTCCTGGGAAGCTAAGCACACTTCTTTTTGCTCTTTGTTGTGGAAGTTTCTTTCATTACTTATTGTTCAGGGACTGCAAGGCTGCTCACCGTCCATTGCCTAACTTTTTATTGGAACATTATATTCCAATAAGAGGAATAGCCTCTGCTAAATTCTAAACACTTTTATTTTGCTCACCTTAAAAAATCCTTCAAATATTCCTGTATGAAGCAGGGACCTTGTTCTGTTTGGTTTGCTGAGGTTTCACAGTGTCATAAAATAGGAAATTAGGATCTTAAAATAGGAAATTAAAAGATTGAATAAAATTGTTTTCTTTTTACCCAAATAGTGGTGGAATGATAAATACTAGTATTTATTATTATCATTTTGTAAATGGCTTCTCCTTCCTTTTTTATCTTTCACAGGGCTTCTTCATCCTGGTGTTTGGAACAATCCTGGACCCGAAGGTACCATTTATAAATTCTTTTTTTTTTCTTTCTTGTTTACCAGTACTTGGCCCTGAGATGCTCACTTGTAAAGGCCACTGAGAGTCTTTCACCTGAGTCATGTGTAGAGTCACACGAGTAGAGCACCACTGTTCCTTATAACGAAGGTGACACCTACCACCTTTTGAGCTCTTGAGAGGATAAGTATTTTATGCACATTAGTTCTAATCCTTAAAACAATCTTGGGTATTACCATTTTCAATTTTACAGATGGGGAAACAGAGTGATTAAGTAGCTTGTTCAAAACTCTGCACAAACCCACCATGACCCACTGATTCAGAAAAGGGGTTTGTTCCATCTCATAGTGCCATCTTTGGGAGGATCTCTCCTTGGCTTGGAGGTTCCATTGCAGGAATTGTCTCCAATGCACAGGACAGAGCTGTTCCAAGAGGGATACCATTGTTCCTGCCCTTTGGCTTGGCACAGATAGCAAAACTCAATAGGCCAATGTTACACAGTGGATGCTTAAACTAGAGTTGCTACTACTGCTGTGTGGGGGATTACCTCCAACCCAGCCTGTTGGGGCTCGGTGGTACCTGGGTTTTTGCATTGAGGGGCCTGATGATCTGAACTCAGGTCATGTGACTGTACCTTAGCTGCAGAATTGGTTGGAGGAGTAAGTTCCTGATTTTTACCTTGAAGAGCAGTGGACTAAAGGAAGGGAATTCTTTAAACACAGATGAGTGTTGATTGTTGTAAGTGGTGAGAACAAATAAAAATTAAACAAATAAAACCTCAGATGTTTACTGAGGCTTCTGAGATTGTCCCCCTTTCCCCCCCTTGTATTGTGTTGCCTCTTGGAATAGCAAACAACCCTCTCAGATATAGATACAAACACCTTCTACCAATTAAAATAAATTAATTTATAAAGTCAAAAGGGACAATACAAGGTTGGATATGCACCCCCCCCCCCCCCCGCAAAAAAAAAAAACAAAAACACACACACACACACAACAAAACAAAAGCAAAATTCATCTTCCCTCCAAAGTTGTGGCTTTTTAAAAAGTATGTATGATAATTCTATTATTAGGTTGATATCAAAGGCTTGTGAAAGAAGACTTTCACAATTGTCCTTTCATCATTTTTTAAGGTTATCATATCAACCTGGTAAAAATTATTGAGATGTGAAAGCATATTAGTCTTGATATTTCTATGTACCTAATAGTTCCTAACTTAATAAAGTTCCAATCTATGAAATTTTCACTTTATGATGGTGCAAAAGTGATATGCATTCAGTACAAACTTTATTTCAAATTTTGAATTCTGATCTTTTCCTGGGCTGGAAATGTGCACTATGATACTCTCTCACCAGGATGGGTGTTGGCAAGTCCCAGTCAGCCAAGTGTTGAAATGGTAAACAACTGATACTCCACTGTGTTGCTAAGCTATGATGTTCAGTAGACTAAATGGATTAAGTTTAACTTATGATATTCGACTTACAATGGGTTTGGTTATGAGATGTCTCCCCAAAGCTACTGTGTTAATGCAGGAATATTCAAAGGTAAAATGATTGGATTGTAACTTAGATTGAATCCCAGGAGGTGGGCATGGCTGGAGGAGGTGGGTTCCTGGTTGTTCTTTCTCGTGGCCCCCTTTGCTTTCTGACCCACCAGAAACTGAGCAGATTTTCTCCAAGAGGAGGCCATGATGCATTGCCTCAACTTTGATGCAAGTCAGTGGATTCTGCTCACCGTAGACGAACCTTTGGAACAGTGAGCTGCAAATAAACTTTTCCTCTCCTAAGTTTTTCTTGTTGGTCACACTGACACAGAACTGACTGAAACAGGTTTATGGGGATGCAATCCCATTGTCATTCAAGGAGCATCTGTACTAGCTGTGTGCAATTGGGGAGTTCTTAATGCTTATGAATCCCAGGTTCCTCAAAAGGTAAATACTTGAAAGTATCACAGGAGCCCACATGATTGATGGAAGAAAAACTATAATTTCTAGTCATCTCCAAAAACAAGTAGTAGTCAGTCAAAAACAGTGAGAATGTATGCCAAAATGTGCTTACTATTAATTTTTAAAGTATGAATTATGTACCTTATAAAAGTATGTAATTATGCAACACAGAGTTGAAAAAGAATGACAACAAAAAATGTAAGTAGGAGCTCTAATATATCTCCACAAATCCCAGTGAATCACTTGGTGCACTGGCCCCTGACCCCTCATTGGACCTTGGAAGTGACAAAGAAAACTGCATTTTCAGGGAAGGGTGAAGTCACCCGGAACTGGAGGGCTTTGGCATACGTTAATTGTGAAGACAGAACTTATACAAGGTCTTGGAATGTAAGTAACATTTTCACAGCAGAAGGAAAGTCAGAGGAAATAAGAAGAGGTACGATATTCAACAGGAGAGGAAAGGATGATCTGGAGTCAGGGGATGTGAATTCAAGTCCTGGTTGTTTCTCTTAGTAGCTAGAAGATTTTAGATGTCAATCTTGGAGCCTTAATTTCCTCAGTTGTAGAATGGGGATAATAATATCTATCCTGCAGGGTTTTTTTTTTTTTTTTTGGTGGGGGGTAAAACAATATGACAACTGTGAAAAGCACTTTAAAGTTATAAAACCAAATGTAATTGTTATTTAATATTCTTATTTCCTTGATTCCATGGACTGTAGCTACGTTGTATAGTACTTTCTTTTTTCATCTGGAAATGGGTGGAATCATTGACAAATTGTGGAAGTGATTAACTATTTAAATGTTCCAAAAATAAAATAAAGTACAATAAATAAATTAAAGCCTTATGTTTGAAATCCTCAAGCTTGTGGCCAACTTTACTTCTTAGCCATTGGGCCCAGGCTTAAGTTCCTGAACATGAGTCTCCTAAGCCAGTTCTACCTCTCCTGTCTCCCAATTCCTTTCCAGACCATTCCGCCAGGTTACTGATCCCTCTGTGTTCTACCAATAGGGACCCGGCTGGTAACATTCCCTTGTCACAGTATTTGCCAGGTTCAGGTACATGTATTAACTTCATATAACCTTTTAATTCTTAACTCCTTTTGTTAAATATCCAGATAAGAGAAGCCTTAAAGGGTCGAGTGAACTCTGTGAAATGGATCACCAGAATATCAGAGGTAAAGCTCTCCTGTGCATTTTTTGCATTGCTAAACCAGCAAGATAACAGTGCTGAACTAGCACCTCAACACTCTGTAATTTGTTTTTTCCCCAAGTGAGTGCCTGTTTGAGCTGTTCATATTCTTTCTGAGTACAAGATTTACAGAGAAATAAAATCTTGAAATCCAGAGAAATAAAAGTAGGCTTAAATGCACTTAAAAGTGAGTAACAAGGTGGCAGGTTTGGAGATGTAAGAGAGCACAGGATGAAAGAGAGAGATGAGGGGGGCTGAGAAGTCTGATCCCACCAGCCTGATGGTTCTCTGCTGATCAGTTGCATGACATCCACAGTGTGAAAATTTCAGGGAGTCATATTCTGATCCCACACAAAGAACTTCTTGAGAGCTTGGTTTTCAAGATGGGCCAGTTGCCATGATAACTGGAGTTAAGTAGGCTGGGGCTCAGCTCAAGGATGTTGTAGAGAAGCTTCAGTCATTATTATCGAATAGGATAGACCATAACATGCCCTTTAACGTATATTCTATTCTTATAACTTAGAAACCATTTATTATTAAGCAAACTTGTTCTGAGTGAGAGAAAATCTGGAACTTTCTAGATGGCAGCAAAAAGGGATTCGAGGTTAACCTAAGACATAGACCAGCAACAAGAGAGGAGGTGATCTAGAGTTTTCCAGGCCACATCTGAAAGGACCAACACCACCCGTCAAGAGCTGGTGCTTCAGGAGATAGGCACCTGGTGGGTGACAGGTCATTCTGGGACTGTGTACCTGTGGCCCTGAGTAGCACTATTATCACTTTTCCCTATGTCCCTTGCCTTCCCATTCTCTTTTCTTTGACTTCTTTTATCTCCTTCTTATCTTCTCTCCTTTTTCTTCCTTTTCTTTGCTTATTGCATCTACCCTTACTTTTACCTAAGCTTTGATCTTGTTCTTAGTCCTTGGTTTCTACACCTGGGAGATGACTGACTTCTCTATATTCCTCCCAGCTAAAGACAGAAAAAAAGGCAAATTTACTGAGTATTGACACTAATAATTATTTAAAGCAGTCGCTTTCAACCTCAGCCACACATGAGAATCAACTGGGAAGATTCAAAAAAATGGGGTTACTGGGTCATACTCCTGGATGGGTCTCATTATGCCTTGGGTTTGGGGAGTTTTGACAGCTTCCCAGTTGATTCTAATGTACAGTCAAGGCTGAGATGCATTCATCAAAAGCCTTCTGAAAGGATCTTTGCTTCATAAATACTGCTTCCTACCAGTGCACCTGATTTAAGCATACCCCTCTGTCATCTGTCCACGGTCACAGCGCTCTCGGGGCAGTGTCTTGATCTCTTCCAGGTTAGCACTACTCTTTTTTTAAATGTGCTTTCAGTATTGGTCCGTTCAGGCCACCAAAGGGAAAGTTTGCCTTTCTGTGACAAAGAAAAAGAGTCATCTTGTCCATTTCTCTTTGGTTTTTAAATGAATAAGTCCAAATGATGCTCAGTACTTTATTATCAATTGTCTATAGGCTGTCAGTGGTTTTCAATGTTGGCTGTACATTAGAAGCATCAAGGGAACTTTAAAAAAAAATCCCATACTAGGTACCTTTCGGTTCACTTCTTGAAATCCTTCCTGCATTCTGCTCACTAGCTTATTAGCTTTATCAACCTGTTCAGAGGATGGAAGTAGGCATGGTTTATCATCTGTTCTCCTCTCCAGCTTTGTCAGCCCCTGATTCGTAGGTAGCAATCTTCTACATCCAGGTTTAACTCACCCTGGGTAGTACTTGCCTGGACAGGGTCAGTCCCAATACCCTACACCCAGGATAATAAATGGTTGTCTGTGGTTATATTACATCTAAGATCATGAATTAGCCTATGGTAATGTGATAGTAAATCTACTAGTGTATTAGTGTGTTACTTCTCTTAGGCAACATATACCTAAAACATACCTAAAAGATATATTTTCAATACAGGCACATCCAAAAAGAATTACTTTAATGTTGAGGATCTCAGCAGATCAAATGAAAAGGGGTGCTTGGGGTCCAAGGACCATTCTGCACCATCCTCTCTGTGTTCCTCCCTTCCCGAGACCCCAACTAGGGACTCTTTCAGGAGAGGGATCCAGGCAGGCCTGGCTGGAGAGGAGGAGGACCTTTCACCTGTTCCTGTATTGTTAGTGGTTCTAATATAAAGAGGAGAAAGGGTGAAGTTAAAAGATAAAATAAATCTCTGCTTTAAATCCTCGTGTGCTTTGAATTACTGTGATAATTGCAAACGAACTAATACTTTGTCTTTCATAGGACCTTTCTTCTGAATTCTCTTGTCAACCCACCAAAGGGCCAAGCTAACAAACTGCATGCATTCCTAACTCAGGAGGTGAGTGCAAAGTCAGAGGGTCTCCATACGTGTGGCACTTCTTTCAAAAATGATAATTCGATTGTAATTAGAAATGACTTTTTTCTTGATTGAAAGGATTCATCCATACAATATATTGTCACTTTGGTATAGTTAGAAATTCATTCACATTTCCAGTTCTTGAGCTACTGAAATTTTTGCCATCCCTGCAAAACCACCAGGCATGTCTGAGAAAGTTTGTGAATTAGAGCGCTGAGCACAGGTGCCAGCTCTGCTTAACTGCTCCCTCTCTTCCATCTGTCCCCTAGTTTCCCATTCTAGGACATCATAAATTATATGGGCAATATCCCAAAATTTCCCACTGTCACCTCTCTCTTTTTTCTCATCTTAAAAGATCAAGAAATTATGATGGAACATATTTGGGAGAGGCCCTAAGAGTAATGTAAAAGTTGCTTTACATTTGAAGTAGTGTCTGAAAAATGGACAGAAAAATGTATGTAGAGAGAGTTAGAGAAGGGAGCTACGGGGGGAAACAAGCTCAGAGACATCTAGACAGAGGGACATGGTGGCTCAGAGTTGAAGACAGCATTCTCCATACATGGACATGTGTAGGTACACTGTCCCAATCCTGTGGCCTGATGTCCCTCTAGATCTAGAAAGGGAAAAGCAGAGAGGGAGACAGACACAAGATTCACAGAGACAGGGAGATATAGCACAGAGAGGCTGGTGGTGCATAGGGACACTCAGATACATGGAATTAGGTAGAGGGAATGACTACACAGATGAGATGCACATAGAGTGACAAACAGAAATGGAGGCAGACGAATTCAGGCCTGCAGAGGGAGCCTCCCGCCCCTTACTCCAGGCTCCAACAGCCTTTGGGCCTTGGGCAATGCCCAGGGCCTTGTGTAGGGAAAAGGAAGGGTCTTTCCTAAGAGAAGTTGCCCTGTCGAGGAAGCGGTCCAACCAGGGAAAGACAGGGTTTGGAACACAACACTTGTAGGCAATAGAACGAGTCTGTTCTCTGGATTCTGGAATGGCCTAAAGAGAAGAGACTCTCCATCTGCCAAGAGGGCTCTACCCAAAGGTTCAAGAAAGAGTGAGCTTTATAATGCAATTGTTGTGAATAGCCTTTGGGTTTTGCTACATATATGTTAAAGCTGTGATTTTCTGTTCATGACAAGGTTGTTCATTCCAGGAATGGCAGAGCCCAAAGGAGAAATGTGCTTATTCCTGTCTTCTTGCCACCAGAGAGAATGAAGGAAACCTCACGCCGTGGAGCTGTCAGAGGAGGGCACGAAGTGTGCAGAGGATGGAAGTCCTTCTTCTGAGTTGTTCTGTGCTACTGAACACGTCTTGCCCATGAACCATATATATACAGATGTGACTTCTTTGGTCATAAGCCAAGTGAAAATCATAGAGTTTGAATCAGAAAAAACAAAACAAAACAAAACAAAACAAAACCCTATTTCAAGTCAAGGAGGCAGAAGCCTGGAGTTGTGAGCACAGCTAATCAAAGGTTGAGCCAGAGGCAGAAGCCCAAGTCTGTGGACTCCCAGTTCTTGACTTTCTCTCCAAGATCAGGTAGCCACTGAAGGGCTTTCTGTTTACACTTTCTGTCACCAACACTGTATATTTGAAGCCTGTGATGGGGAAAGGGAATATCATATTTCAAGGTCAAAGCTGCTCATTTTCTTAACTTTGTATGTAAACAAATTCAACCTTCAAACCAGGTGTTGCTTGATAGAGAACAATGTTATAGGTAGAAGCCCCTTTACAGAGTAAGTGCATTGCCAGCTGCCACAGGAGAAAACCACGGAACAAAGGCAAGGGGCAGTGGATGGTCCCAACTATCTCACCAAGAAGCCAGTGTTATTGATGTTCCAGTAGAAATGGGAATGTGAGGCTTGCTTTGTGCACGAGTAGTGTCTCTTTCTTTCTGTTTTTTTTTTTCTCCAAGGAATCTTCCTCTAAGTGAGAAGTTTGAGAAGGCAAAGGAATAATAAAGAGATTCATCAGAAGGTAGAAAAAAATGCATCAACCTGGAGAAAGAATTATCTTACAAGAGGCACTGCTTATATTGGGACAACAATAGCATTCTTCTCAAATGGAGTCAGAAAGTGGTTTGAATTTGTCTTTTAGCAATAGACCTGGAGAGACTCCTCAAGAGAAGGAGGTGAGATAGGCATAGTCCTGGTTTTTCTCAGTGCACAGAAATTAGGCATCAAGAAATGCCACTTATCCAGAGACAATATATTGAGGCAAAGATGGAATCTCACAAAGCCAAGTAGTTAGATGACTGTAAATCTGGACAGACTTTAGAAAAGGCTAAGTCTAATTGCCTCATTTTACAGCTGAGGATTCTGAGTACAGGGACAGAAGGAGGGATTAGCCTGTTGTTTGTATCATGCATTAAGCAGTCACAGCTGGTATGAAAACACTACGGTGTACTCACTTCTGGAGATAGGATATTGGGAAAGATACCCCACCATGCTCATCATTAAACCAAGAAAGGCCCATGGATGGTACAAGAAACTACAGAATTATTTTGGGACCCCGTGAAGAAATTGTGCTCACTCTTCTGCAGCCCCAAACTACTCTGTACCATCTTAGAAAATGTCGAGGAACTGCATGGGATAGGTTGGCTCCTGATGACCTTGACAGGGACACATGGAGTATCCTGCTTATACCTCACAAAGGGAATGACTTGGTCAGGTGGACCAAGGAGAAATTGGTGCTAACACTGCCTAAGGCAGACTCATGGGTAGAGTACTTTATTTTTATTTATGGCCATCCTTGGGAAAGTCATTTACATTCCTTAGACTACTTTTCTGTAAATTGAAGATAATAAAACCTACCTCAGAGGATTACTGTAAAGATTAAATGTACAAATGCAGGTATTTAGAATAGTACTTGGCAAATATTAATTGCTCATTAAATGTTAAGTTTTTTAAAGAGTACTTGTGAATATGTGTACACATACAAACACACATAACACAAAAAATGTACAGCTCTGCTCTTTGCATGAGTTTGGATGTAGATATGCCCACAGGAATTAGTTGACTGACTGTTAAATAAGAGTCAAGCATTCAATTTGGCCTGTTCAATGTTAGGGGTATCAGTCAACAAAATCTGCTGAGTTTACTACCATAGAATGAGCCTTTTATCCAATGCTACTCTGGTAATGATACATGGTTCCCTGCCTTGGAAAAAAGAGTGTGTGGCACAGGGCTCTAAGCCCTGTACTTGTCTAAGCTTAGCTTCACTTTCTTTTTTTCTGGAGAAGTATTCCCTGATTGGTCTAACCAGAAATGCTGATCCTCCTTCCTTAATGTGTTATGTGATTTATAACCTGTGCCATTCACTTTACATTGGTATATATTGTGTTATATTGTTTGTTTACTTTGAGTCCTTTATGTGCATGCATTTTCTTTCCCAGATAAGACTGTAAAACCTTGTTGCTCACTGTGTTACCTACTTTCACATGCTTATAGAGCAGAGCAAGGTGCTTTGTATATAGAATGTGTTCACTAAATATGTAAAATCCTTTGGTTACACAACCTCTTGATACTGGTTTTTCCAAATCCCAAATGACCTAGTACTTAACTAGTGACCTAAATAAATCTGACCCATTTCAACAAACATTGCCTCCTTGACCATCATTACTGTAAAATGTGTAATAGAATTTCCTCTTATTTATTTCTCTATTGTCCATACCTTCCTCTGGTAACTTCTAAAGGCAGGTTTGCATCAGGTCTTTGAGGGAAGGAAGGCCTGTAAATAGAAGACCCCAGAATTACTATGTATGAAATTATTTGGTAGTGAGAAGAACAACTCAAAGTAGCTACGCAGCCTGAGTCATATCAAGTGAAGTTCCCCACAAGTGCAGACTATGTGGACTATGTATTCTAGGTCTGAGTTACCTACAGCCAGGTGGAGGCTCAGTAAGAACTACCGTTCCTCATCATCAAATAAATAAATAAATAAATCCCTCTGGTGTCAAGCTAGAGATTAGATGATGATTTTCTGATGTAATTATCTAAAAGTCACCCCCTTTGTGAGATGTGCAGGACATTGCATGTGTCATCTCCAAGGTTCACTGGGAGTTAACCTATTCTGTGCAGTTCCTCAACGCTTCCCAAGATGGCACAGAGTAAGTTTCTGGCTATAGAAAGTCAGCCAGTTTTCTCCAAGTTCAACATCGGTATAGGCAGAAAAGCAATAAAAACCTTTTAAAATCATCAGTGATAGTGGTGCAACCTTGCATATTATCACTCTCCTACTCACACCAGTGTAGTAGGTGGAACACAGAGTCTCATGTCATCATCTGAGATAAAGATGAGGAATGGCAGGACAAACAGGTGACTCACTTTAATGGATCTGCTTCAGACAAGAGAAACCTGTAATTTCTCTCAGGTGTGCTTGACGGGCCCACTGTGGAGTGAATCACACACTTGCACAAGCCTTGAAGCTGTGGGCAGCTATACTGTTGTCAGATTGGCTTCTTACAACAGGCGGCTGGTTCTCACCAGGGCCTCCCGGACTTCCCTTCTAAAAGATGAAAAAGATGGGTCATGGCCACTGAAGGAAGACTGTGGGGGGCACCAGTGTGGGCACATGTGATGCCGGGGCACGATGGTGGGAACTCAGTGCCAATCTGCCAGCTGGTTGATTCTCCACCTCCCAGCTGCTAGATCTACTTCCTGGATACCGTGAGTACCTGTCCCAAGCCCACACCTCTTTTCTCCTGAAGAGAGAAATGTTTTTGAATATGTTCCATCATGGGAGAAATGTGTGATTTATGATGGTATTTTCTGGAATGCTTGATTCTGCAGGATCCTTCCCGAACATTATTTAGAAATTGGCCAGCTCCAAGTTGGAGTGTTTCCTAAGTCTCTTTTATGTTTGTTTTTCTTCAAAGAGTCATCGGTCAGGCTCTAATTGCTCACTTCTAGGAGTGAAAAATGAAAAACATCCTGTCAGGCAATCAGACTCACTGTCCCTGAATTGTCCTCTTGCATGATAAAATTCAATTCCCTTCCTTTAGACTGAATGCAAAGCTGAATGTTTTATAAAAAGCATTCTGTAGTGGTTTCTTCTTTAACCAGGCTGACAAAGCTGTCTTTATAGAAACTTAAAACATTTCTTCCACTTACTGTTAGAACCTTTTGCAGAGGTATGTCCCTTCTTTTGAGGGGACAGTGATGTGCTGTTTGAAGTCTCATATTCCTTAGATTATGAGATAAATCCTGAAAGCTCTAAATTGTTGTGTCCCTAGATGCTGATTGTGTGTGTGTGTGTATGTGTGTGTGTGTGCTTTCTTCATGGGAGAGAGTAATTGCTGGGACTATCAGTTTCTTTGAAATTATGGTAAATACCAGGATAGTTGGTGAGCTGTGTGGATGCCTCCCAACTCTGAGTTTTGTGATCTTGAGACCTATCAGAATTTGGATCCAAACTAATCTCAGAAAAGATACTGAGCTACAAAAAGATTATCTGGAAGCCGTCTAAAATAGCCAAGGAAGAGATGTTCCCAATTCTGATAGATCTTGCTACCTTTCTTTTCCCCAAGGTTCTGTATGAAGTACCCTATCCTAGGCAAGGGAGAACCACTAAGAGTAACTAAAGAGAATCTGTTATTGAGGCCAAGAAATAGTGGGTTTTAAACACATAAACAACTCATTTATCCATCTGAGGTTATAATCAGAATTCTAATTGCAGTAATGGAGTATATGGGACATACAGTTATGGAATTTGGCTTAGGGCAACAAAACATACACACACCCTAAAATGTGGGTCACCTAACTCTTAGGTTCCTCGCCCTTCAGTTAACCTTTCTGAATTGGTCACTCATATCAGACAAAGGGATTGTCCAAGGAGTATGAGGTGAGTTACTGTCTAGATAAGCTGGTGGGAATGGATGCCTTCCTCTCACCTCGTGTGGTACACGTCAGCAGAGAGGAGCACTTAGGGACCGTGTGTACTGATTTCCAGATGTTCCCAGACCTCTCACCTTAGGGTGTTGGCATCAAGAGATCTGAGAGATCACACTTTCCACACATTCCCTCATCACTGACTGCATTTATTATTCCTGGTCTGACCCTTTCTTATTTTCTTTGGAAGTCCCAGTGCCAGTCCTTGCCCAGCATGTTCAGACAGGTGGGGCACATCTCAGTCTGTGAGAGTCATCTCCAGCTCCATCAAGCACATACCCAAGTCAGCTCCAGGACCCAGGCTAATCGTAATAGAAGATGGTGTTCAGGTTTTCTGGGTCTTCCAGGGGAACAGTGTTCTGTGAGTTCTGGTTTGTAGACACAGCATGGAAAAGACCCATGCATGGTCATGTCACCCTCTTATGACACCCATGGCACACATTCATATGCTAGCAGGGCTCTCTTTTTCTTTTTTCCCTTCCTTCACATGGATTTATTTCTTATTTACCTAGTTGGGACCTCCCACTACATTTTTACCTACATGCTTCAGGTAGTACAATGAATAAATACGTAGTAAATCTAGCATTAGTGAGCATTTCTGCTTAAATCACTAGGTTTCAAAAATTACCTAGAATTGCAAATACCTTGGCCTTCTCTATCTGTGGGTTCCACATCCATGGGTTCAACCAACTTTGAATTAAAACCATTAAGAAAAAGCAAAATGTGTCTATACCAAACACATCTCTACCTTTTTCTTGTCATCATTTCCTAAATAATAGAGTCTAAAAACTATTACAAAGCATTTGCCTTGTATGAGATACATAATCTAGAGACGTTTTAAAGTTTAGGGGTGGATGTGCACAAGTGACATGCAACCATATTTAATTTGGTATGAGGGATTTTCTGTGTGGGTGGATTTTAGTGTCTGTGTGGATCCTGGAACCAATCTCTCCGGGATCCTGAAGACCACTGTATGATCACTTGCCTCTCTAAGATAGAAAAGTTTCCTGTTGATTGTAAAACAAAACTTCAAACGCAGGGTAGGGATCTTTACTCATTCATTTTCTCTCTGAGGGATCATAATTGACTTATACAATGGATGCTTACTGAGTGTTCATTTATGTACCTTACACTCTGCTGGGTGCTGAGAGAAAAGTTAGGTGTTCACCTCCCAACTAGCAAAAGCCTGATTTTTGCCCTTTCTGTACCCTAGATGTGACCTGATTTCTCTCAGTCTCTGGGGCTAAGAGCACTGATGTGCTCTGTTGACCCATTGTGATCAGTGCTTGGGCAGTGGGGTGGTGGGTGTTGACTGCTGTAAATTGGTTGGGAAGGTAGTTCACTCTGGGTCTATTGGACCATGCTACATTTTCTTTTAAGTTTCTGAGCCAACAAATGTTATTTTCTCTCTCTTTAATCACTAGGTTAGAGCAGGGAGCCTGGCTTAATTCAGCAGCCTAGAGTTGCTGTTTATTATTGTGTGAAAAGCAAAGGTGGACTGTAGTGGGTAATTCACACTTGTATAAGGATGCACAGAGGTGATTTGTGGAGGAGGGGAGGAGGAATTTGGGACATGGATTGATTACTTTTACATGTCTTGAGAAAATGCCGTGTAGTTGCTTTTATTGCAAAAATAAGTATCTTGCAGACTCTTTGGGAAGAAAATGTGGAGCTTTTTTGGGAGCAAGATGTGACTAGTTAGAAACTGGAGGGAGTTTGTTTGCAAATGAAAAATTATTATTTACCTTGTTGCCACAGATAACTTCAGGCAAGAGTTCTTTTGTATCTTGTTTTTTTCCTCACTGATTTTTATTTTCCATTCCTGAACCTGTTCTCCTTGTGATTGTCCCAAGCTTTGGTGTAAGTGACTTAAAGAGCTCCCATGAACCCATTGGTACAGGGGCCCAACAAATACATAGCAGGGCTGAGTTTGGGCAGATTAACTTGTTTGCCTCCAAGATGACAAATTTTCATGGAACAGCAGCTTAAAATTCCCCAAAGCATTTTTGATGAGCAAGCAAATTTTAATAAAAACTGGGTGACATGTTTTTTTTTTTTTTAATTTTATAAGAACTCTCGGAAGCTTTTGGGGTGTGTGTGTGTGTGTGTGTGTGTGTGTGTGTGTTGGGGACAGAAGGAAGTCTGAGGGGAGTGGTATAGCACACATTGTTATCCCAGTTGAACTAACCATGGAACGCCTTTGTCTTTCATCAGAAAAATGTTCTACAGAAACCTAGTTTAGGGTACCATCCCTTCGTTAAATATAGCAAATACCAAACTCTATTGTTTGCCTACTAAAAGTAAAGCAGGCAGATTTCCTAAATTCAAAGAAAATTTAAATCCGTGGATACAAACATCTCACTGTTAAATTTTCCTTTAACTTTTAGTGCCTGCTACAAGCGCTTGGTAAACTAGTGGTGGATCATGTGGCAGACATAGATATTCATAGCTACAGTACAGTTCTGAAAGGTCTAATCCTTACTGTCTTGCTTTCCCTCATCCTGAGTACTAGGATCCTGGATTTAGTAGCTAGTGACTTATCTCTCAAACAAAATGTTTCTCTATCTCCGTATAGAACTAGGGATGTTATGGAGACTGACAATTTTGTTAACAAACTGAATACACTGGAGAATTAGAAGTCAATAAATGGTATAAAGGGAATTTAAGCATAAAATACATGGAACAACTCTGGATTTTCCATGTGGGATAGAACATGGCATTGACTCCAGCCATTTGTCACCAAAAACTGGTGACTCAGCCAGGTGAGTTAGCCTGGGGGAGATTTACATCTAAAAGCTGCTTCTTTTAGTCCTGTGTTTTGCTCATGTTCCTTTGGATGATTCACAATTCTCTTGTCCTATTTAACTTAGTATTCAAATTTTGCATCATTGTTCTTTTCTTTCCCTCATTCTTTCAAGAGATAACACAAGATACTGGAGAGGAACTTTGCTTGTATTTGCAGAAACTTCTCAATTTGGAATCATGCACAGTTAAAGTTTACTTTAATTAAGTCTTGATCAGTGGTAAATCAAAGAATGTGGGCTTTCTCTACTCTGTTATATAAAATACCAGTCTCTGGTTATGAATTGTGCTGCTAGGACTTCTTTTTATGTTTTAATTCTCAGAGCTCTGTTCTCTCTCTGCTTTGCAGAACATTTGGCTTTTGGCTTTGGCCCCATCTGAGATACCCCATTCAACTTTTTTTTTGGTGAGAAGAGAAACAACCCATTTGGGGCCAACCTGAGAACACCTATAGGATTCATCACAGTGATCAAACTCTGCAAAATAAGGATTCTATGACTCCTCTTGTGTAAGGTTATTGAAATTCTCCCAACATTTGTAGCAACTGAAGAAAACTTACCATATAATTATCATACCTAATGATACATAGGTTACATATACAAACTACAATAACACAGGTGATCAAAACCCTCCAGGCAATTATGCTCAGTTCATTTTTCTTATAGTCATGCTTATGATTTTAATTTTATATCTCATACATATTTTTACTAGTAAAACTTTTCTTATATGAATATATAAAATATATCATTATCTCATAATGTCCCATAAGAGTACAATGACTTATAAAAAATGTCTTGACTCTTGGATCCTACACCCTGAATACTTTAAGAGGCTATGCTTACTGGGAGACCCCAGCACTGGGAGGGGAAGCATTTTTGGACCCCACAAATTATATCATATTATTGTGTCAAATGCCTGACTCTTCCAGCAAGGTTAACTTTAAATAAAATTTCTATATTGACAATTATGGATGGTAAAGGGACCCTTCTCCTGAAGTTTCAGATGGTAGGTGTTATTATTTATAAATACCTCCTTTTGGTTCACCTTAACTCATTTGCACATTTAACACTATGATCTCTAATGGAGGATAATTTGGTTTACAGGCAACATCAGTCTAATGATTTGGTCCTGAATGTGCATATCTTTTCTCCCTTGTATCTTGGAGGGAAATTTCAGCATAATTATGAAGAATCGCAAAGAGAAAGGATCAAAATGACTACTTTAGTGAAAGAAATGAACAGTTTTCAAGTTGACAATGAAAACAAACCTTATAGTCTATACTTCTGTTTTTTTTTAATTTTAATTTTTGTGTGTGTTTGGTGCTGGGGATTGAACCCAGGGCCTTGTGCATGCTAGGCAAGGACTCTACCAACTGAGCTATATCCCCAGCCATATATTTCTGTTTTTTAAATTGCAGACTATAGTCCATTAGTAGCTTGTGAATTTAATTTAATGGGTAGCAACCAGTATTTGCAAGAATGTCAAATGGAATATAGTATGCATGAGATGAATTGGATATGCTAAGAGTATCTTGCTTATAGGTAGGAAGGATAAATATTTTCACATAAAGAATTTTAAAAACATAAAGATCATGTATTTTTCGGATTTATGTATAATACCTATATACACACCTGTACCTATATACATACTGAGTTATAATGTAAGATTCATTTCTTATACCATGGTCAAAAACTTTGAAAGTCACAGTTGTATATATGAAAGTTATGGATACATTTAATACAATTTTTCCTGCCTCTGCTGGTAATTTCTTTTGTGATGATTGTCTACATATTTGTGTTAAACAATATTCATATTCCAAATTGGTTAGAGTGCCCATCCACCATTTTGCAACACACACAATAGCTTCTTCCCACCCACACTGTAAGATGATAAATTCTGTACACGCAATCCCCACATCTGTGCAAATTCATTACCACACTTTGCCTGTCATTCTGCCATGTTCTCTTTCCCCTGCTCAGACTTGCTCTACAAGATGATTTTGTAAATCAAAATACTTTCCCCCCGCAAAAAAAATTAAAAAAAATACTTTCCCCCATTCATTGGTTAAGAATTTTAAAGTCAAAGACAACTTAAAGCCTTCCTGCAAGTACCTGTCACTCTGATTTCAGTAGGAGGCTCCCTAGACTTAGGAAAGTTCATCTTAGATTTGACTCCACCCAGTAAAGGTCTGATGTTAGATCAGATGGTCTCAGGAGTAATGACGAATCAGAGTTAGATCATCTCCCTTAGAGCTTTCCCCTCACTAAGTGGAACTGAGGTTTGCTGAGGGCTTATTCTCTGCCTAGCCTTGTTAACCAGGTCAGTGTATGGGTGAACCTTCTTCTCACTATTAGATGGACTTGTCTGTGTCCCCACTGCACATGCTTTATGGAAAGGACAGCAATTTTTAATTTTTGTTCCTCCAGCATCTGGTAAAGTTTCTGGCAAATAAAAGGCATTTGATAAATGAATGAATCAACATTTAAACTTAATGAAATGAAAACAAAAAGACTCAGTGAAGTTAAACTAGTTTATAAACAGTGGAGATAAGATTGCAGTCTAGTGCTTATCAACTCTAAAATCCATGGTTTTTTCACTTTTCTGCCTGTACCTTCCAAGAAAACCATTCTAAGGAACTCTTACCAATAACAGGTATACATTATCACCATTACGTATGAAAGTATAATGGGATGACCAGGATTATCTGTGACGAAGTTAAACCATGGTATTTGATACTATCTTGGAGATCTGGTTTTGAAAAATGGAAACATTAGGGAAAAAAATAAAAGGCAAGAAACAAAGACATGGCAACAAACAGAGTTAACTTCCAGTGCTTCTAGTGGATCTATACAGAAATCTATTCATCCAGTAGAGGAAGTCTCAGTGTATGTTCCAGTAGCAGACAATTGTACATGTTATGTTCACTTTACTTGTCTCCAAGACAAAGTATTATGAAGGATAGTGATTCTCAATGTGTGTGGGAGAAAGTCTCCTCTAGAACACATTTGGCAAAGTAAGGAGACAATGTTGGCTGCCATACTTGGGGTGTGTTTTGGGGGGGTGCTGGTGGCATCTATTAGATAGAAACTAGAGATGCTGCTAAACATCCTACAACTCACAGGAGAGCCTTCAACGAGTAAGAATTATCCAAATGTCAATAGCATCATCCCAGAGAGACCCTACTATAGAAATCAGGAATGGCTGTCCAGCTGGGCCATTTGAGCTGGACTCTAGGTTCTCATACTTTTTATGTGAGTGACCTTGGGCTCATAGTTGCTCAATTCTTTGTGCTTTAGTTTCCCACTGATAAAATGAGGATAGTAATAGTATCTTCTGTTATATGATTAAATGAATTAAAGCAAAGAAAGTGTTTAGACTAGTATAGGCAACAGCAATTTTTGACAAATGGTACTTTAAAGAAACGTAGATTAAATAAGGACCGATGCTCTGTTGGACTTACATCAGTCCTGGTGCTTCCCTTATTCCTGTCTTCTGCTGTGGATAGGTCAACAGTTCAGAGAAAGACTTTTCTTTTTTTTTTTTTTATCTTAATTGGTTTGAAAATAGATATTGGTTGGTGTCCCTTTGGGAGCAGGTTGTTTGGGTGTGGAGATCTCAGAGTCCCCTTGCTAAGAGACTGGTTAGCCTGCTAAGTGCAATGTTAATGTCACTTATGTGAACTGATCCCCTTTGGCAGGACCCACTTTTTTTCCTCTATTGCAGGTTAAGATCCTAATGTGTGAAAATGAAGTCCCAGGCTACCATGATTTGCTGCGTAGTGTTTTTTCTGGCTACAGAATGTTCCCACCATAGACCCAAGAATCATATAAAAGTAAGTTTGAGCCATCTCTACATGGTCCCAAGAGAAATCCCTCAGTTTCTCTAGATAGCTGGATTTCTGATAAACAGCATGTCCTTTTAAATACATTTATATGACTATAAGTTTACTCTTGCTGATACTAACTTTCTAAGGAAGGGAATAAACATAGAGGAAAGGTGGCAGGAATGTGATTGGAGAGCAATGGCATAGTAGAACCATCCCTTCGCAAGCCACAGGGAATGTGGACAGGGAGCTGAAGAGAGGAGAAAGCACTAGCCTGGCAGTTGTAGGGCAACTTAGATTCAGATCTTGATTTTGCTTCTCACTAGCTACACAAGTTGTTTTACTTTTTTGAGTCTTAGTTTCCTTATCTATAAGATGAGGTTTGTTTTTTAAGATAATATTTATAGTCCTTTATAGGTCTAAAAAATTGTTATTCTGTTATTATAACCAAGGACCCTTCCTAGTATATGTCCATTTCTTTCTTCTAAGGATGTAGCTGGAGGGTCACATTACAGCATTTCACCTTTATAGTTAATAGAGTCCGAGCTTGATTGGCATAATTAAAGCTTCCCAAGAGATGTACCCTAGGGGCTGGGACTATATCTCAATAGAGGGCTTGCCTGGCATGTATGAGGCACTGGGTTCAATCCTCAGCACCACATAAAAATAAATAAAATAAAGGTACATTGACCACTAAAAAAAAAAATGATGTACCCTATCCCCTAACTTGACCTTCAGAGCCCAAGTGACTCTGTCGAGGTTAAGCCCTCATGGAGGGCAGTGTGTTCTCTGTGCTCTCATCTGTGTTCCCTTGGGCAAGTACCTGCAATACCATCACAGGAATCTGCTGCAGGTATTTTCCTCATCATGAACATATTTCCTTTCCATATTTACATGGAGCCTCTAAGTTGAGATGAGCAAAGACAGTCCCACAGTAAAGAGGGCCTTTGGGGATTGTGTTTTTCAGGATAGAGCAAAACTTCAAAACTTTGAAGGGAAACCTGGGACCGGAAGGATACAAGGTATGTATCTCTAGAACCATCTTTATACATTTGGAGACAGGGCAGGATAAAGGAAGGACACTGATGTTCCAAGCATGCCCCCAGGCCACAGGTGTTCCAAGGAAATCATTATTTCTAATAAGTCCATCATATTTGCCACTATTGGTAGATTTATTACAACAATACCATTATCAATGGCATAGTCAGTGAAGTGAGTTTGCAAACATTCCTGTGTATTCTACAGCAGTTGACAAATGTCCATTTTCAAACCCCAAAGGAAGTAAATCTGTTCAAACTAATGAGCTAACAACAGGCAGAACAGGAAAGAGGACCAAATTCCTCCTTTCCTTCCTTCAGATATTTTCAGGGTGCTTTAACAAATGCAACACTGTGGTGCTGAGAGGTCTGTTGAAGCAATGCCAGGTGGATACCATGATGGTGAGACTGGTCACTCTCAAGAAGTGAGACATAAACTAAGGAGGTAAAGTCATTAGTAGTAATATAACAAAATCATGTGGCTCACACCTACATAGTAGGGATAACTGGATTCTGCACAGTCATGGACAGGTATAGTTCTGGTGGCAAACACATCTCTAAATAAATGTGGACTTGGAAAGAAAAAGAGGAGAGAAAGGTAGCTAACATTTACTGGGTATTTATGACAACACTTATCTAAGTGTTGAACAAAAGGCTGTCTCATTAAACCTTTGTAACAACATTATAGCATCATCTCCAAGCAAATGAATGAAAAAATTAAGAACTACTCCAGTTAAATAACTTGCAAAATTGTTATATGTGGTAGATGTCAAGGAAAAATACATACCCAATTGTTTTCTTTCCAAGAGAAAGCAGTAGTCCAGGCCCTAAGTATGGGTGCATGACTTGATTCTAACCAGTTGGTCACCTCATTTTATTGACTTCAGCACCTAATAGGTGTCAGCATCATCTACATATTTCCATTCTATTGTCACTATCTTAAAGGCAATTTTTCTAAGAATACTTCAACAGTTTCTTTCTTAGACTTCCTGTCTTGTGCTAATTCACTCTGACCTATGGGCCATATTTGGCCCACCACCTGTTTTTAATGGAACACAGTCATCCCAATTCAGTTACATACTGTCTTTGGCTACTTTTCACACTAAAAAGACATAGTTGAGTAGATGCGACAGACACCCATGTGATCTGCAAAGTTGAAAATATTTATTCTGACTAGGGTTTGCTGTATTTAGAAAATAAAAATATAAGATGCCAGGTTAAATTTGAATTTCAGATAAGCAATGGATAATATTGCATGTGTCATAAATACAGTAAAAATAATTCTCTCTCTCTCTCTCTCTCTCTCTCTCTCTCTCTCTCTCTTTTTAACAAAACACTTTCAATCCACCCTCATTTTTTTTGGCAGATTCTAAATTTGCAAATTCACTTACTCCCTGAAATTTATTTATAACCCTTAAATCAATACAGTGTTCTTGTGATCATTCACAGACATGCACAGAACAGCGAAAATGGAGTTGCCTAATGCACAGGTTCCCAGCTAAGATTGGCCAAGGTGATGCCTTGTGTTAGCTTTTTGTCACTGCAACCAAAACACTTGACAAAAAAAAAAAGTAGAGGAAGAAAAGTTTGTTTGGGCTCACAGTTTCCTAAGTTCAGTCCACGGTGTGTTGCTTCTGTTGACTCTAGAGCTCTGGGGCTGTGGTGAGGCAGAACAATGTAATGGAAGGGAAAGGCAGAGGAAAGCAGTTCAGGACACTGCAGCAATAAAGCAGAGAGAGCTAATTCTGTTCACCAGGGTCAAAATATAAACTCCAAAGTCACACACCCCCGTGACCCACTTCCTCTAATCACATTCCATCTGCCTACAGTTACAGGCCAGTTAATCCATATCAGTGGATTAATCCACTGATTAGGTCACAACTCTCCTAATCTAATCATTTTATCTCTGAAAATTTTTGCATTGTCTCACACATGGACTTTTGGGGGACAGCTCATATCCAAACCACAACATCCTGCTTTCTTATTCTAGCTCTCATACTACGAATGAGTCCTCTTCCAGTCTGCATAATGCATGATTTTGCATTTTTGTGCTTTTTGTTTATGATTTCTTTTTGTATAAAACGCCCCCCAACCATAGTGCCAAAGTGCTGTCTAGTGTTTCTAAGTGAGAGAAGGCTGTGGTGTTTTCTGGAGAAAATACATGGGTTAGATAAACTTGGTTCAGGCTTGAGTTGCACTGCTTATGGGCCCTGAACTCAATGTTAATGAATCAACAATATATATTAAATAAGGTGTCATTTAACAGAAACAAATAATACAAGTTCATATATTGATCAGTTGATGAAAATGTCATGAGCAGAAACTGGCAGGAATCTAACCTTAAGTTCCCCTAGGATGGTTGGTTCAGAATGCTAATTCATGGTGAATTCACAGAACATAACTCCTGTGAATAATGAGATTTGACTGTATCTTAAGTAAAATTAACATTTAAATGGGTTTTCTGTATTTTATCTGGCAAATACTTATACAGTTCTGTGCAGAATAGTTTACTGATTCTTGCTCTATGCTGTTGCCAATTACCTTTCAATAACAAATCCAATCATGTTTTCTGGTAACTCTGATGCTAGCACAGCATTCAGTGCCCCTCAGGACTTTACCCGTGCTTTCCTTCAGTTCTCACTGCCTGTACTTCCTCTCAGGTGTTCTGAGCTAGATTTTCTAAATGACCTCTAGATGCCCTCTCCACATGCTGCTCACTCTGCCTAGACACCAGCATCCCCATTGGCCTGGCAGCCCTTATTCATTGCTGCAGACCCAGTTCAATGTCACTTCCTCTGGGAAGCAATCCCCAAAGTCCCAGAATGAATTACATGCACTTATCAGAGTGCCAGTGCAGAAATGCTAATTTGATCTCTTACTCATTTCTTTTTCCTTTTTAGAGAAATGTCATGAACCTTGCCTTTCCTCTACCAACTGCAGCCAACCCTGTGCTAAGCACTTTCGTGGAGAAATCGGATTTATATGTCATCAAAAAAAGTGGCAAAAATCAACTGAAACATGTACAAGCCTTTCTGTGGAAACACTTTTTAAGGTGACTCATTTGCATATTATTGGTATAGGAGCTAATCTCCCAGGTGGTGGTGGAGACATATGTAATGCTCTCTGTTCAGCTCAGACCTGGATTTAGGAAAATATAGAGTGGGTTAAATTTGTCTTTTGTCCTTTTTCTCTTACCCCAACTCTGGGGTACTCTCATCTCTGCCAATTTCATTTCCCTTCTCAGAACCTTTTCCCAACAAAGACTTGAAGCTCATTTACCCTGTGGTATAAATGATTGCTTAGAGATTCAAATTTAGCCTTAAAGTTGGATTTGCATGCTCCTGTGTTAATTAATCAACTGAATGTCTAGAATTAAATTTGATATCTTTCTTTTTTAAGTATATTTTTTAGTTGTTGATAGACCTTTATTTTATTCATATGTGGTGCTGAGAATCAAACACAGTGCCTCACACATGCCAGGCAAGTGCACTACCACTGAGCCCCAGCCCCAGCCCCTGATATCTTTCTTTAATACTTTCAGTCTCTTGACCAAAGGAAAGTAGAGATGTGTGATTCAGAGGCCATAGAAATTCAATGTAGAGAACACATCTCAGTTAAAATTAAAATGTCCTGTTTTATATTTTTGCACTTAGCCCCCATTTCTTTCTGTCTTTCCTTCATACCATTGAAGCATGTGGGTCCCTGCATTTCCTGTGTGGTTTTATAAAGGGACTTCCTAGGAGTCTGTCAATTAACATAGGTAATCATATAATTATCCTTGCAACTACAGTGGCATTCAAAAGTGAATTAAAGGAAATAAATTATTGCTTTGTCTTATTCAAAGTCACATTCTGAGGGAGTCTACGTAAAAGCATCAGGAAATGAGCAAATAACTTCTAACTTGTAAATTATAAACTTTTCAAAATTGTAATTCTTTAGCATTTGGTATTTCAACTGCCAACCTCCAAAAACAACTCCCATTTGAAATTCCATGTGGTTTCTCTTTCTCTACATCTCTGTGGAAAATCATCTTGTTATAATAATACTTGTGTTAAAGCCACTTTCCTGAAAGTGAATTCCAGTAGGGAAGGTCAGTATCAGTATCCTGATTTCTATGGGAATTTGATGGATGTTGATGCTTATTTGTGACCCTATCTTACCTGCCTCTACTTCTCAGCACTAAAACCCCTTTTTAGGACCACTTGCTTCTTTTTCATGTGGATTGTTTGTGCTTTTAGTTCCTTTAGTATGATACATGCCAGAAACTCAATCATTTTTTAATAAAACAACAATCTTTTTTTTTTTTAAAAAAAACAGGACTCAAATGCAGCATTACGTCTTTCTGTAGCAGCACCTTCTATACCTCTACCCATTCTAGATTTTCGAGCTCCAGAGCCTGTTAAGAGTGTAGCTCAAAGAATCTGCAAGAATTGCCCTCATGATTATGCTTGCATCATTGATGTTGTGAAATCCTCAGAAACCACATCTGGAAATATTGCATTTATAGTTGAGTTATTGAAAAATATTTCTACAGATTTGTGTGGTGGTGTTACCCGGGAGAAAATGAAGGTACTCTTACACTGGTAATAGTTTTTTAAAAATCTTACACTTTAACAGTTTCAGATGTATTTTTCAGGGTAAAAACTACAACTACCATAATAAGAACATCAGGCATTTCACTTCAGTTTTGCATATTGACTTAAGTTAGAAGATTTGAAATACATTGTGATCACCATGAGCAAAAATGGAACTTACTCTAGTATTTCCAAAATTATGTTCTGGTAGAGCACAACTGTTCTGAGGAATGTTAACAGAGATTACATTATTTTTGATACTCAGGATGGAACCCAGGGGCGCTTAACCAGTGACCCACATCCCCAGGCCTTAATTGTATTTTATTTAGAGACAGAGTCTCACTGAGTTGTTGGGGGCCTTGCTACGTTGCTGAGGCTGCCTTTGAACTTGTGATCCGCCTGCCTCAGCCTCCTGAGACACTGGAATTACAGATGTGAGCCACCATGCTCAGCTCAGTGGTTCTATCTTTGAAAGGTGGCATAGCACTTGCAGGAAATTTTGGTTTAAACGCAGTTTTCCTTATGGCAGAATGTAGAGCCTTTAGTGTGCTAATGAACATCAGCACTTATTATTAAAGAGAGGGATATAGAGATATGGTACATAGTGTTGTTCAAACTTAGATCACCAAAGAATCCACCGCTACTCCACTCATGAAATAATCATTTATCCTATCTCATGGGAAACTTGGGTTCTATATCCTGTGTTTTGGAGATGTTGCCTTTGGTACGATGATAAAGCAGGTAATTTTTAGCTGAGGTCTGTATCATTTGTGTGTATGTGTGTACATGCATTTATATATGAGATCTTTTACTTTTCTTCCCTGTGTGCAACCTTACTTATGTGAGACTTGAATACAGAGAATTTGAAGAGAAATATGTCAAATAAGAGCAGGTAATTAGATGTTTAGAAATTTTAGATTTTAGAAATCCACTTTGTACAATAACGAGCTTTCCTCCACTGCAGAGCTACAGTGAAGTGGCCAACCACATCCTGGACACAGCAGCCATTTCAAACTGGCCTTTCATTCCTGACAAAAATGCCAGCTCAAATTTGTTGCAGTCAGTGAATTCGTTTGCGAGCCAACTCCATATCCGCAATGAGTCTGAGGACATCGTGGATGAACTCTTCATTCAGATGAAAGGCTTTCACATCAATCACAACACCACAAAGAGAAGTTTCAATTTCTCCATGAGCGTGGATAATACAACAGAAAGCATCTTAGGAATGATAGAAATTCCCAGGCAAGAGCTACACAAACTGCCACCAGGGGACACATTCCGAGCCATTAGCATAGCTTTTCCAACCTTGGGGGCCATTCTGAAAGAACCCCACTTGCCAAATGAGAGTGTTTCCAGACCCATAAATGGTCTGGTCCTTTCAGTCATTTTGCCAGAAACGATGAAGGAAATCTTATTCACCTTTGAAAAAGTCAATAAATCCCGAAGTACCAGGGCACAGTGTGTTGGCTGGCACTCCCAGAAAAGGATGTGGGATAAGAATCAGTGTAAGAAGATGGTGGATACCATGGACAAAGTGAAATGCCATTGTAACTATACCAATGTGATGATGTCGTTTTCCATCCTAATGTCCCCCAAATCTGTGAGTGACAAAGCCCTGGACTACATCACTGGCATTGGACTCAGCATCTCAATCCTTAGCTTGGTTCTTTGCCTGATCATTGAAGCCACAGTTTGGTCCCGTGTGGTTATGACAGAGATATCATACATGCATCATGTGTGCATCGTGAACATAGCAGTGTCGCTCCTGATTGCTAATGTGTGGTTCATCATAGGCTCTAACTTTACCATAAAGTCCCAGGAAGACAACTGGTGTGTCACAGTGACATTTTTCAGTCACTTTTTCTACCTCTCTCTGTTTTTCTGGATGCTCTTCAAAGCGCTGCTCATCATCTATGGAATATTGGTCATTTTCCGTAGGATGATGAAGTCCCACATGATGGTCATTGGTTTTGCCATTGGCTATGGGTGCCCGCTGGTTATTGCTGTCACCACAGTTGCTATCACAGAGCCACAGAAAGGCTATGTGAGATGTGATGCTTGTTGGCTTAACTGGGATAATACCAAAGCCCTCTTTGCATTTGTCATCCCAGCCTTGGTCATTGTGGCTGTGAATCTCCTTGTGGTTTTGGTTGTTGCTATTAACACTCAGAGGCCCTCTATTGGCAGTTCCAAGTCTCAGGATATGGCCATAATTATGAGGATCAGCAAAAATGTGGCCATCCTCACCCCATTGCTAGGACTAACCTGGGGTTTTGGAATAGTCATTCTCATAGAAGAAACTTCATTGATATTCCATATAATTTTTGCTGTGCTCAATGCTTTCCAGGTAAGTTCCAAGAGGGAGATTTTGTGTGTGTGTATGTGTGTGTGTGTGTGTGTCTGTGTGTGTAACTTGGCTGGATAGAAAGAAAAAAAAAAAGAAAAGGAAAGGAAAAAAAGGCTATGATTTAAAATTACAGAACTCAAAACACTCCTTCCATTTCCTTCCACATCTTATGGATATTGAGTCTCTTACTCTGTTGACTGTCAAGCTGAATTTACCTGACCAGGTCAGTTGGGTACAAATCTCCTTCCTTCTCTCCTCAGTGATCCTCCTAAGTATCCCTCCTAAGGTTTCAACACCAGAAGTCAATCTTATCTTACAGAGGAAGTCAGGGAGGTGTGAAGCTATGCTCACATCATGCCTCAAAACAAGCACGATTTTATCCTTTTCCAGTGGAATAGCCGATTTTCAGTGAAATAACCATTTTCTATAGTATGAAGAGAGGGCCCTTGGCATTCACTTTGGATGTTAACCAGTTAGGAGTTCTCATACCTCTTCCCTGCTAGTCCTTGTAAAATAAATCTAAGTTGTTATTTAATGAAATGGATCTTACCATATTTTTCCTGGTCTTGGGAAACATATGGTAAAGTCTCAGTCTCAACCTCCTTATCTGTAAAAGAAAGATAAGAACCTAAAATGGACTCTCACATAGTTGGTTTGGCAAGATCGACTGTCTCAAAGTTGTTTTACTCCCTCTTGCTACTCAGCTTGTACATTTGGGACACTGTCATTAGCTAAATTGCTTTCTATGCCTATGAGTAATAGGTAATTTGGCAAGTCCACAGTCTCAATTATGGTGTTAATCAGGGGTTGGCAAACTATGACCTACTGCCTGTTTTTGTAAATAGGGTTTTACTGGAATATAGTCTTGCTGGTTTCTTTACCTTTCCCCCCATGACTGCCTTTGAGCTGCATTGGTACATGTGAGTCACTGCATGGCCCACATGGCCTAAAATATTTACTGTCTGGGTCTTTTCAGGAAAAAAATGACCTGACTACCACTTTCAGGTATATCAGTATAACTGCTTAGTTATATTAATATTGTTATGTTAATTATTATTTGGCATTTGCAGGTAAATGGATGGAGTTGGAGAATATAATGCTAAACGAAGTAAGCCAATCCCAAAAATTAAAGGCAGAATGTTTTCTTTGATATTATTATTCTATTTCAGTGTGGGATTCAAAAGATAAGACAGATTAAAAAAAAACTCCAACTCAGATCACTTACATATCTTACTTAGAATTCTTTCTTTTAAAAATTATGCTCATGGGGCTGGGGATGCGACTCAGGCAGTAGCACGCTCACCTGGCATGTGCAGGGCGCTGGGTTCCATCCTCAGCACCACATAAAAATAAAATAAAAGATGTTGTGTCCACCAAAAAACTAAAAAATAAATATTAAAAAATTCTCTCTCTCTCTCTCTCTAAAAAACAACAACAACAACAACAAAAACTATGCTCATTAACTAGTTAATTCCCTGTGTTTTATTGGTGCATTATATTTGTACATAATAGTAGGATTTGTTGTTATATATTCATATATGCACACAACATAACAATATGATTTGGCTAATATCATTCCCCAGTATTTCCCCTTTCCTCTCCTTCTTCTTTCCTCCTGGCTCCTTACCTCTGTAATACTGGTCTTCCTTCTATTTTCACAAGATTAGGAAATCTTTCTTTTTCTTTTTCTTCTCTAGAAAAAAATATATTATTCTTGACTTTCTGTTACTCAGAATTCTTAAAAAACTATGTAGCATATTTATTTCATTCTTCCTGTTGGATTAAAGAAAAACCTTTGTTTCAAGTTTTTTTTTATTATTTGTTTATTCTAATTTGTTATACATGATGGCAGAATGCAATTCATTTCATATTACAGATATAGAACTGAATTTTTTAAGTCACTGATTGTACACAAAGTATTTTCACAACATTCGTGTCTTCATACATGTACTTAGGGTAATGGTGTCTAACTCATTCCACCATCATTCCTACCCCCATTCCTCCCCCACTCCTCCCTCCTCTTTATCCTAAGTTCCTCCATTCCTCCCATGTTCCCCCTCCAATGCCATTATGAGTCAGCCTCCTTATATCAATAAGAAAATATTCGTCCTTTGGTTTTCGGGATTGGCTTACTTCACTTAGCATTATATTCTCTAACTCCATCCATTTACCTGCAAATGCCATGATTTTATTCTCTTTTAATGCTGAATAATGGTCCATTGTATATATACACCAAAATTTTTCTATCCATTCATCTACTGAAGGGCATCTGGGTTGGTTCTACAATTTAGCTACTGTTAATTGTGCTGCTATAAACATTGATATGGCTGCATCCCTGTAGTATGCTGTTTTTAAGTCGTTTGGGTATAAGCTTAGGAGTAGGACAGATGGGTCAAATGGTGGTTCCATTCCAACTTTTCCAAGGAATCTCTATACTGCTTTTCAGATTGGCTGTGCCAATTTGCAATCCCACCAGCAATGTATGAGTGTACTTTTCCCCCACATCCTTGCCAATACTCAAAAACTTTAATAATAATAATAACAATAATAATAATAATAATAACCCAATTAATAAATGGGCCAAGGAACTGAACAAACACTTTTCAGAAGAGGATATATAATCAATCAACAAACATATGAAAAAATTTTCAACATCTCTAGCAATTAGAGAAATGCAAATCAAAACTACTCTAAGATTTCATCTCAAGTTTTTTTCTTTCTTTCTTTTTGTTCTTATTTTTTGGAAATCAAAAACTTTTGGATTCACATTCATTGTCCCACTATAGAAGTTACTCTGGTGACTAATGATCTCATCCTCTTTCTTACTTTGCAACTTAACTAAACTCCAGGATGTTTTGTTCTATATTTCTTTTTGAGCTCATTTGTATTTCTGTTTTCTTGATAGAAAGAAAAATACCCACTTTGTTTTGATTTGGGGGCTGGGGTTTGAACCCTGGACTTTGCACACACTAGGCAAGTGCTCTGCCAACCCAGCTGTACCTCCAGCCCCCTAAATACTTTTACTTGTATACAATCCTGTTTTCTCAACAAGCTATCCCTGTGACTCACCTTTAACATTTTTAGTCACCTGACTGGTGTTTCTTCACCCTTAAACTATCCTTAGATGGTGATTTTAGGCCTTTCAGGTCTTTGTAGCTTTCTCTTTCTTTCATACAAAAATATTCTTCCACTAGCTGAGAGCCCATGATTGCCTATTTACAGAACAGTAACTGCAACTCAAAGCAGACTAGAAAAGAAGTTTCATTTTCTTAAGGCGACTTCCATGATTGTGATTTTTTTTTAAAAAAATTATTTATTTATTTTATTTGTTTTAATTAGATACACATGACCCATGACCGTACAATAATCTTGACATATCATACATTTGAATCAGATGGGGTATAATTTCTCATTTTTCTGAGTGTACAGGTTGCAGAATCACATTGGTTATGCAGTCATGTATATACACACAGCAATAATAATGTCTATTTTATTCTGCTGCCCTTCCTATCCCCCCTTCCCCTCCTCTCCCCTCCCATCACTTCTCTCTACCCAATCTAATGTGACACACTTCTTTTTTTTTTCTTTTTCCTCACTTCGTCATACATGTATTCTGTATAACAATGAGGGTCTCCTTCCATCTTCCGTGCAATTCCCCTCCTCCCTCCCTTTCCCTCTCACCTCTCTTCCTTATTTAGTGATAATCTTCTTCTCATGCTCTTCCTCCCTACCCCATTTTGAGTCATACCCCTTATATCAGAGAAGACATTTGGCATTTGTTTTTAGGGATTGGCTAACTTCACTTAGCATAATCTGCTCTAATGCCATCCATTTCCCTGCAAATGCCATGATCTTGTTATTTTTTAGTTCTGAGTAATATTCCATTGTGTATATATGCCACATTTTTTAAATCCATTCATCCATTGAAGGGCATCTAGGTTGGTTCCACAGTCTAGCTATTGTGAATTGTGCTGCTATAAACATTGATGTGGTTGTGTCCCTGTAGTATGGTGTTTTTAGGTCTTTTGGGTATAGTCTGAGAAGAGAAATAGCTAGGTCAAATGGTGGTTCCATTCCCAGCTTTCCAAGAAACATGATTGTGATTTTGAATTACAAGATTCGATGTCATGTGTAACTGTCCTCATAAGTAAAAACAGCTACTACAATATTTGGAAAGAAAGTTCAGAAGCTTTAATACGGTTGAAGATTCTATTTTATATTTGTAGTCATTCGATAAATATCAAGCCTCAAGAGAGGGATCCTCATCCAAGGAGGAGGTAGACTCAAAGGAAACACCCATGAATGCATTTTTGTCTGCATCAGTTTCTAATGTCCAATTGCTGTCCTAGAAGTTATGGAGAACAGTGGTATTAAAATAACAGCTGTGGTACTGTTTGAGAAGCTGATCTTCATCATTCTGTTGAATTTTACCACAGGGTTTCTTCATCTTGCTGTTTGGAACCATTATGGATCACAAGGTAATTTGAATTCACTTAATTCCTTGCAGATGATTTCCATGTGGCTAAAGGAAGCAGCAGTACAAGGCAATTTGATGGGAGGGCATAGTCCAGGGAGCTGTGTTTAAGAGAACAGCTCAGGGCATCAGCTGTGAGGGGAGAACTATACTCTCTCATCTCACTCTTTATCAGGTCAGCAGGAGGCTGTGTAAGAGCATAATTGGTGAAAGGAATAGAAACCATGGCCACAAATTTAATTTTAATTCTAAATCTGATCACAACCACACCTCCACTTTTACCCAAGTCATATTATTTGCCACTATATTAAGCCATCGGATGCTGCTTTTGTCAGGGTTACTGGTCTTAAAGTTTCAGGACAATTTTGAGTCTTGGGATTTTTGTTTCCTCTGATGGTTTTGAGATATTTCTGTCATTGCTTTTTTAGATAAGAGATGCTTTGAGAATGAGAATGTCTTCTCTGAAGGGGAAATCGAGGGCAGCAGAGGTAAGCTTTTAGACACACATGGGATGGTCAGTGTCCTTCTCGGTCATAAATATTGTAGCTCAGTACCCAGGACTACTAGCAAAGACAATCAATAGGTCACCTTTCATTCACTCATGTCTTCATTTTACAAATTCGGGGTTTCTTGCTAAAACAGAACTTCAGCAGAATATAGCTTACGAGAGATTTTTGCACATTGGGTTTATTTGAGCTAGATATTTGGGCCCACTGAGATGGGACAATGTGAATCCATGATCATTGATTTATAAAAGATGAGAGGCAGGAAATGAAAGTTGAATTGGAGATGAGATTCTAGTGCAGCCCACTCATTTTATGGGTCAGGAAGTTAAGATGGAGTGTACTTATTAGATGTGTACACAGTCACCCAGCTTGGTGAGAATTGCTCCATTAGGAAACACTGAGGAAGATTTTGACCTGGCTGTTTGTCTTTTAAGGCATTGACTAAAATTGCCAACATGGCTATATTAATTAAAACTTATTTGTTTAACCAATAGATTCTTATTAAGAGCTACTTCCTTGAAAACAAGCTTTCTGGATATACTGAGAGCCACCATTTAGGGTTAGCTTGTACTGAGTATGACTTTTAGTACCACATCTCTTCAATTTTAAGATGGGCATTTTCTTTACCTTTTAACACCTTTAAAGTTGAAATGTATCTTATAACCAATTAAATATGTCGTGGCTTAATTGACAAGTTTTTTTTTGTTGTTGTTGTTGTTTTTAGCAAAACAAAAATGATGTAACTGATAATCTTACATTCAGTGAAATATGTTAATTTAATTCCTTGTAGTTGTGATTTTTACATGTTTATCTCTAGGAAGGCTACACATAAACATACATATATATGTAAATATATATCATTTTTTGTCAGTATCGTTACTCGTTGTCACCTCTGTTATTTCTTTTTTCCCATTTAGAATGCATCATTAAGTCCAACCAATGGATCTAAATTAATGAATCGTTGAGGGTAAAATGTAAGTATGAAAACACTCAAAGAGAAACTTCACTTGAAAGTTTCACTGAGCCACTCTGTACACAATAGCCTGATCCATGATGCTCTAATGAGGTGGGAGGGGATTAGGGGACATATATTTTAGAAAATAGAAACGTCTTTATTTCCTGGCACATAAATGAAATTGTGTATGTTTTCTTTAAAATCTGTGTCACTTGAGTTAAATGACCAGACCTTAAGCACCCAGGGTGTTTGGTAAGCACACGAAAGGGACATACTCCAGGGCAGGGCTAACCTACAGGGAAAAGCCAGTACTTAAGCCACCATAGAAAATTACAGACTGAGCCTCAGGAGGAGGCTGAATTCCAACGGTGAGAAAGAGGGCGGGAGATGAGAACAGAACTTGCAGTGAACTTGGAGGCCCCCACTGTGGGTGGAGACTCCTTTTATTCCAATAATCTAGGGTTTAGATTGCTTTTAGAACCAGGACTGAAATAGATCTGTCAGGTGGCCCCAAGATGAGAGGAGGAGAGCTGCAGAGCCGTGAAAAGCAGGCAGTTCCTTTCCATTGTGGATTCAAGGTGGGAGAACCCCATCTGGGAAGGCAGAAAGGGCGACCTCCTTCCTATTGAGGCCACAGCTCACAGCGCCCTCTGCTGTTCAGGTGAGGGGGCAGGCCTGTAATGGGACCGGAACAGGCTCTTTTACCCACTGTGATTCCAGGGGCAACAGGAAGGCTCCAGGTTCTTCCGAAATATCTTCTACTTGTTTGTTTAGCCCTGAAATTCACTCAAAAGGATGCGGAGTTCAGTTCATAATTTAAAAACGAGATGACTGAACAAATACTGGAAGAGAAGCGACAGGGTGTACAAAGGACAGTTGTAAATTGAGCTGCAGAGTTGTTCTAGAGACCAAGTTCAGAAGAGGAGAGAGAGCACTGCTCACCCAATTTAGGGTTGGAGGAGCAGCTCAGGGAAGGCAAAGGGCACAGAGCAATACAGCTGGAAGACAAACCTTCCTTCTCATGCCTGGAGCCTCATTTTCTCATCTATAGATCAGGATTAGTAATAGCACACACCTTGGTTTCAGGAGAAGATGAGCTAGAACTCGTGATGCCCCTAGAACACCTGGCTCAATTCAAATTGTCAAGAAATGTCAGCCATTGTTCCTGCTGCTAACAAGTGTTCCAACCATCTTTCCCAGGATGCCCATTTCTCACTGTTGTCCTGGGTCCCGGGACTGAGAGGTGAGTTCCAGAAGAAGAATGCATGGGAAGTAGTGTGGAATGAGGAGGGACAGCTACGGTGTCTTTGAGGACCTTTTCCTCTTGCCAGGAGTGACACCTAAGCTGAAGAGAAATCGAAGATGCCATGTGATGAGGAGACTTTAAAATGGCTGATCTACTGACTCATTGACTCATTTGTGGCCTGCAAAAGTCTGGCTTCTTGTCACCCTTGGCAAGATTAAGGAAACCTGCAAACCATCTTGTGGCCTCTGTGACAAGTCTGGGGTTGGTGGGACCTTGCTGGGCGTGGGCTGCTCTCATTTCCAAGGCTACCTCCTGGCTCCCTGACTCAGTCATCCCTCCCTCTGCATAATTCCTGAGGGACAGGGGTTAGATCCAATTTCAGGAGCAGGGTTGGGGGTAGGAGTGTGATGTTGGATTGTCAGGACAAACACTGAATATACTTTGGAAATGGCTTATTCATGGTAGGTTTCATAAAGATAAGGAACAAAACAAAAGAAAGCTATTTAATGTGTTTATTATTTAAGTCTATTTTAGACCTTGAATGAGATAATTTACCTTTTAGGATCTCAGTTTCCTTAGTTGCCTGTTTGGGCAACAGGCAAAATTCTTGTAGACAGTACAGTGTATTTGTGTACCTGCACACAAGTGTGCATGTGTGTGTTTATGTGTTCATGTGCATATTTTAACCATTATATGTAAAGAAAAATTCTGGTTGCTATTTTAGGAATAAAATACATATGTTTACCTTTCACAACTTGCTCACGTGTGAGTTCATTCAAGATGAACTTCCCCATTGATAGTACAATGTTCCTGAATATCATCCTGTTACCAATCCACCTCAGCTAATGGGCCAGACCTCCAGGAGGTCTGGGAATGCAATCCTGCCACATGCCCATGGAGTGAGAACTTGGAAATGTTTGGAAGAGACCACTACCCTGACTTACCTTTAAGAGGTCTCAATGAAATTATTAACACCATTTTCGTTTTAAACAGCAAGGCTTTCATTAGAAATGAAGATGGCTGTGTGGTCAGGGGTAGGACATTCTGTCCAAAGCAGATGTCATAGAAGTCACTTATTCGAAACTTTTTCACAAAACAAATCAACAAAAAACATAGTGAGTACCTCTTTTCAGGGCTTCAGTCAAAATCTTTAGTAGTGGTTTAAAAGCAAGAAAAGACTGTTTTATAACAAATATTAATTGTTCAAAGGATGAAAATTTTTAGTAGTTGGAAATCATTTCTCTCTTATGTTATTAAAATAAGATGTTCACAGGAGAGATGTGAATTTAATTTCAGTTTGTAAAGACTCTTGTGCATTAGTTTATTGATTCACATTTCCTTATTGACTCATGCTTCTATGAAAACAACTTTTATTTCTTTCAATCCAGAAATTCCAGAGCATTATGTAATTCCAAGCCAAATGGTTGCCTTTAGTTTGTAGATTTATACTTGGTTTTATAAGAAGGTCAAATTAAAAAAAATTCCTTATAGTAATTCCACTTAGTCTCCTGTCTTTTTAATATTTTCTTAAGTGTTCCATTTATTTAACACATGTTAGAGAGATACTGTGCTAAGTGCAGTCAGTTCTGCAATTACACCACAGGTGTGTTTCCAAAAATCACCTTGCTATGAAAAACTAGCAATAGAAACCACAGAGCTTATGAGACAGATGAGTCAGGGCTGTAACATGCCAAGACTTTGTCAGAGACACATGAAAAAGATAATGAATAAAAATGATAACATGGTTCTGCTCATATTAAATGGTTAAGAAATACATAAATTTGATAGTAAATATAGTACTTTCCTTTGTAAAAGACCTGAAGTTTGCTTTTGGAAGTGGCTTTTTGCTAGTTATGGTGAAGGAAGGTTATCAGACAGAAAGCAAAGGCACAGAGGTGGTTAGGTGTGGCTTATAGCAGGTGGTAAATTGATCAATATTTGAACTGTGTGTGTGTGTGTGTGAACACAAGTGTATGCACACATACATGTTTTGTATCCTCCCCCTGGCTTGGTTCATGTATGTGCAGTTTTCTATGTTCTAGTGTTTCTTCCAAATAATCTCACACATAAGCAAATAAGAAATTTACTTGATATTCAGATGGTGCCTTAGTATATTCATCTTTTTAGAACAAATTCTGTTTTTTGTGGGGGGCGGGGTACCAGGGATTGAACTGAGGGGCACTTGCCCACTGAGCCGCATCCCCCGCCCTGTTTTGTATTTTTATTTAGAGAAAGGGTCTCACTGAGTTGCTTAGTGCCTTGCTTTTGCTGAGGCTGTCTTTGAATTTGTGAGACTCCTGCCTCAGCCTCCTGGCTGTTGGGATTATAGGATGTGCTACCGTGCCTGACAAATACTGTTTTTTAAAACAAGTATTAATTATAGCAAAATTGACCATAACTCAAGGTGAGCCACCATAAAGAACAATGATTCCCAGCACCACAACATATTAAGAATCACCCAGGAAGCTTCTAAAAACTGTGAAAGTCTGAGGCCTATCCCCAGAGATTCTGATTCAATTAGTCCTTGATGGGGTGCCTGGATGCCTTTCTGGGTGACAGAACAAAGAAAGAAAAAAAATCTTTGCTCAGTAATTTTAATTCCAGCAAATATTTATTGATTCCTTGCTATATGACCTTACTGTGAAGGGTACAAGTGGAGAAATAAAAACGTCTCCTACTAGTCTTTTTCTTATGACCAAATGTCTGTCTACCCATGAAAAAATGATATGATAGAAACCGATGGCAGCCAGTGTGGAATTGGTACACAAGGAATTGGTGCAATGAAAGCTTCACAGAATTGAGAAGTTGCTGTGGCCAGGAAGGCACTGGGACAGCAGAACCAGAAAGATTGGAATCAAGGTTGGGTCTAATGACTGGGAAGAATTTGAATAGATATGGCAAGTGCTTATTTTAGGCAGGGAGGAGCAGAGTACTTCATAAAGGAAAATGAGAAGAAAGAAGGCACTCGTGGGAGACTATGAAGAACACGGCCTAACCCTAGTGGAGAGCCATGTTGGTCACAGAGGAAGAATATGTCCGATTACAGAAGAACTAGAATGGCAGGTCAGGTATTTGGCTTGATCTGACAGGGCATAGTAAAGGTAAGAAACAGTATAGCACTGCTTTCTGTTTATGTGATCAAAGTGGTTGATCACATAAAACCAAGCAGAGAAGTGTGTGTGTGTGTGTTTGTGTGTGTGTGTGTGTGTAAGGGATGGAGGGGAACCAGAGTGGAGTGTGGAATATATTTGTTATAGGAGGCTGCTGGCACAGGTCCTTGGATAACTGTCTGGCTCTGACTCCACCATCTAGGCATGAGCCTGAGGCAGAAATAGGTCAGCCCTGAGAAACTCAGCTTGAAGATAAACCTTTCCCCCAGGAGTTTCTCCCTCTTGGCAATTGTCATCTTTGGGCACAACTCAGGGACTCAATGGATGTGGTCTCCTATTTTGGCTCTTTAAAAAGAATCCATTTTAAAAATCCATATGTAAGAAAATGAAATTGAACCCCATCTCTCACCCTGCATAAAATTCAACTCAAAGTGCCTGCTGAAAGAAAAAGGAGACACAATTCTCCATCATGTCTGTTATGGTTTGGATGTGAGGTGTCCCCCCAAAGCTCACATGTGAGAAACTGGGAAAAGATTCAGAGATGCAAAGTGATTAGGTTTCGAGAGTCTTATCAGTGAGTTGATCCCCTGATGGGATTAACTGAGTGGTAACTGAAGGTGGGTAGGGTGTGGCTAGAGGAGATAGGGCATTGGGGGTGTGGTTAGGGGGTATGTATTTATATCTCTCTGCTTTCTGATCATCCTGTGAGCTGTTTCCCTCCAACACACTCTTCTGACATGATGTTCAGCCTTATCTCAAGCCCCAAGGAATGGAGCCAGCTGTGTATGGACTGAAACCTCTGAAACTGTGAACCCTCAATAAACTTTTCTTCCTCTACACTTGTTCTTGTTGGATCTTTAAGTCACAACTGTAAAAAATCTGAGCAAAACAATGCCAGCTTAGGAACCAAATTCTTCAATAAGACCCTGACAGTGCAAGAAGTAAAATCAAGAATTAATAAATGGGATGGTGTCAAACTAAAAAGCTTTCACAGCAAAGGCAACAATCAAGAATGTAAGGGGCTGGGATGTGGCTCAAGCAGTGGTGCGCTTGCCTGGCATGCGTGCGGCCGGGTTGGATCCTCAGCACCACATACAAGGATGTTGTGTCCGCCGATAACTAAAAAATAGGTGTTAAAATTCTTTCTCTCTCTCTCTCTCCCTCTCCCTCTCTCTTTAAAAAAAAAAAAGAATGTAAACAGAAAGCCTACAGAATGGGAGAAAATCTTTGTCACCTGAACTTCAGATAGAGCATTAATCTCCAGGATATAAAGAACTCAAAAAACTTAACACCAACCCCCCCCCCCCCAAATAACCAATCAAGAAATGGGCAAAGGAACTGAACAGACACTTCACAGAAGAATAAATATGATCAGTCAACAAATATATGAAAAAAATGTTCAACATCGCTTGCAATTAGAGAAATGTAAGTTAAAACTGCACTGAGATTTAATCTCACTCCAGTCAGAATGGCATTTATTAAGAATATTAGTAGCAATAAATATAGGTGAGGATGTGGGGGGAAGATACACTAATACATTGCTGGTGGGACTGCAAATTAGTAAACACACTCTGGAGAACAGTATGGAGATTCCTCAGAAAACTTGGAATGAAGCCACCCAGATATCCCACTCCTCGTCATATACGCAATGGACTTAAAATCAGCATATAATAGTGACGCAGCCACAACAATTTTTATAGCAGCTCAATTCACAACAGCTAAGCTATGGAACCAATGTAGGTGCCCTTCAATAGATGAATGGATAAAGAAAATGTGGTACATATACACAATGGAATATTGCTCATCCATAAAGAAGAATGAAATTATGGTATTTGCTGGTAAATGCACGGAACTAGAGACTATCATGCTAAGTGAAATAAGCCAATCCCCCAAACCAAAGGCTGAATGTCCTCTCTAATATGCGAATGCTGACTCACAATAGGTAGTAGGGAGGGAGGAGTGGAGTTTCACCAGACTGGACAGTGGGGAATGAGAGAAAGTGGGGGGATAGGAATGGGAAAGACTTTTGAATGAATTGGACATAACTTTCCTATGTTCATATATGAATACATGACCAGGGTAATTTCAAATCTTGTACAACCACTAAAATGGTAAGTTATACTCCATGTATGTATGATATGTCAAAATATATTCTACTGTCATGTATATGTAAAAAGAACACAGAAAAAAATGTTAAAAAGAATACATTTTTATAATTATTTTGTAGCCAGGTAATATTTTGTCATCTCTTCCCACCTCTTTATATTCCAGTTATCCTAATAGGAGGTATGGCTGAAAGTTTGTATTACAAACAGAAAGGGAAACTTTTGATTTGTGTTTGGTTTCCTAACCTTGCTCTTCAAGAAATACCCATATACCCAATAAGTGGGGAAGTGGTTTTCAAAGAGTTAGAGAACCTTTGGAAAACAGTCAACGAGTGGCACCACTAAAAAAGGCAAAAGAGAATGGAACGTACATACTACCTACTCACCATAACCTCCTCTGGGAGGAGACCTGATAAGAGCTCTTCATGATGGGCTGGCCAAGAGGAGATTTTAGCAGATAAAACAAATGAAGAATATTGAAACTCATTACACAGGCAGTGGTCATATGGGCACAGAAGAGAATCATCCTGCTCTATGATACAAGGATATTCTAAGACACTGGGCAGAACCTTTGCTCAGACACAAATGGGGTACGAAAATTCAGGCACATTGATTGTAAATGTCTAAGTCTTTTGTTCCAGGGACATGGGGAAGGGTCGATGGGAAATGGAGCTTGGTGACATCATGATGCCTTTCTTATAATAAGCAGTGGAGGCCAATGGAAAGAAGCCAGGATTTGGAGACAGACAGACGTACACTTCTGTTCTGTCCTTTCCACATTCTAATGGGTGACTTGGGCAAGTCATTTAGTCTTTCAGAGTCTACTACTTTGCTCATCTATAAAATGGTAGTAGAAAACACACCTGTGGTATTATAGAGAGTAAGAAGGTGTTTTCTATGAAAATAGCTGCCCCTGGGTCCAACAGGT